GGAGAATCCAAGACCTCAGTGCCTTCCGCCGTGCCCTTAAAACTTTCTTTTTTCAGCAAGCGGGCTGGCTTAACATATTTTTTAACATATTTTAAAATATTTTTAATTGGTTTGTTATCTAAATTGAGGCCAAATTAATATATATCCTTTTAATTGTTTTTAATGTTTGTATTGTATGTTTTTATCTGGCTGTACACCACCCTGAGTCCCTCGGGAGAAGGTGCGGTATATAAATTTGAAATAAAATAAAAAAATAAAAATAAATAAATAATTGGAATATTCATGTTCATATTGATTAATATACAAAAAAGATAGTTATATAACTAATTGATTTATATTAAAATGTTGAATTTGTATTAAAAAACTGTAATATATAATTATCCAATGTGAGGATGGATATAAAAATAGATGACAATGGGAAGGGGTATAATATAGAATAGAAGGGAAAAAATGAATTTGATTAAGATTAGAGATGAGGATGAAGGGTAATATTGGTTTTTTAAAAAAATAGATGAGGAATAAATATCGCAAAAGGGAAATATAGAAATTGTAAATTTAATTGAAATGACTAAACACTGTTTAAATTTGTGAACTGGCCAAATACTCTGTTCAAAGAAAATACATTGTATGTTTGTATGTGTGTTTCTAATTATTGCTATTTATTCATATTTGTTCTCTCTTATTCTTTAAAGTTTAACAATTCATTCTTTATCTTAATATCTTTATATTTGTTTGGGGTTGGCTTTCTTCCCTTTCATCTTTTTTATTGTACAGCAATCTTTCTCCTCAAACCTACCACCTCTCTCTTTTCTTTCCTTCTTACTTTCTCTTCCCCCCTCTTCTTCTCCTCCCTACTTCCTCTTCCTTTCTCCTTCTCCTCCTCTCTTTCTCCCTCTCTTACCCTCACTCCTACTCTTAATTTCCCTTCTCTTCCTTCCTCCCTTCTCTTCCTTCCCTCTCTTCTCCTTCCTTCATCCCTCTTTATTGCTTTATCCTTTTGTGCATACGGATTACTCAGAGGGCTGAAAAAGTTATTTTTGACTGGTCCTTGCACTTTTGACCAGTCCTCAAACTTACAACTGTCCTCACATTTCACTTTTTTCGCCCTATGTTGTCACCATGGTGAAGAGAAGCAGTTGTGAAATGAGTGACACGGTTGTTAAGAATGCTGCACGGGCATAAATGTGAGGATGGTCATAAGTGTGAGGACCAGTCAAAAGTGCTAGGACCTGTCAGAAATGACTTTTTTCAGCCCTCTGAGTAGTCCCTATACACATAGCCATGGCCACCCAGCTAGCCACACCCATCCAGTCACATGACCTCCAAGCCATGCCCACACAATAAGCCACGCCCACAGAACCAGTAGTAAAAAAATTTAGAACCCACCCCTGTGGTACGGGTACATGGTATGGTGAGGATCAGGAAGGGTATGTGAGTGGCCAGTGAAGTGCAAACACAGAGGGACTGGGGAAAAATATATGGGTGGAAGAGACTTAACTGAGCAACTTAAGAGTTTCCATCCCATTAATTTCCCTTTCCCATTAATTTTCTCCCTGCAAGCTTTCCACAAGCAAAGTCAGTGGGGAAACAGGAAGGAAATCAGAAATTTCTTCTTCCTACTCTCACTGATTTTTTGCTAGCATACGGTCATTCTGCTTACCTGTTTAGGTAAATAAATATCTCAGAAATGATGACCCAGCTGAAACAATGACCCATGATGACCCAGCTAAAGTGAGGACCCAACAGATCAACCGTTGTCTAGTCCCCACTAATCCTGTAGTGACACCTAAATAGGACAATGGAGGTTCTCCATTTCAAATAATTGCCCTTTACACTCAGAAAAGAACAAGAGGAAAAGGAATAAATACAGTCCAGAACCTTATGTTTCTTCCTTAGTTTCCCCGGGACACCTCCTTTATGGCAGTAGTTTAAGCATATCCTCCTCCTAGGAGTAAGAAACATTGCATTTTATGGAAGTTGCTGTAGTTATGTCTCCTGATGTCTACAACCTTGTTTTTACTGTTGGAATGTAGTTTGTGTTGTGTGACACTTTATCCACAGTATATATAACTTAATATGCTTTTATTATCTTGTGCAAAAGAATCAATTTTATGTACATGCATTAAAATGGAAGATCAATTTATTTTAGAAATGAAGAATCTTACTTTTACAATTGGTTATAATTGCCAGTCTTTAATAAAATAAATATTATTTAAAATAGTTTTTTCTTTTTCTGGCCATATTTTGAACTCTGGGCTAAGTTTATATGTTTGCTACTGTTTGTATTAAGTTTGACATTTGCAGAATGAAAGATGTCGTGTGGAATATATGTCTTCCTTCTTAAGAAGCCATTCAACTATTGTTGTAGATCACTGTGGTCTATGTGGAACTGTCTTTGAAGATCACCCAGAAACTATAACTAGTCCAGAATGCAGTGGCTCTCACAGTGTTTGGCACCCTAGGTTTGCCCATATTATACTTTCGTTGTGTGAGAAGAAGTACAAGGGCTGACATTGTGGTGTAAAGAAAATAATCTTACACTTAACACCAAAAAAACTAAAGAACTTATAATTGACTTCAGGAGGAAGAGAGATGTACATTTATCATTGTACATAAATGGTGAGGAGGTGGAGAGGGTTGGTTAGTTTTAAATTTCTGGGCATTTATATCTCAAAGGACCTCTCATGGACAATGAAAGTTAACATGCTTGTGAAGAAGGCACAGAAGAGACTGTACTTCCTGAGAATGCTCAGGAAGACAAATCTATCTCAGCATCTACTTCTGTCCTACTATTGCAGCATCATTGAGAGTGTCCTGACATATGGCATTCTTGCATGGTATGGGAGCAGCTCTGCAGTGGATAAAAAAGCTCTACAGAGAATCATTAAAACTGCCCAGAATATCATCGGGCTCCAGCTACCAGCCCTGGATGACATCTTCGAATCTCGCTGTTGAGGAAGTTGCATAATATTCTCAGAGACTCTTCCCATCCTGCTTACAATCTTTTTGGACTGTTGCCTTCTGGCAGAAGATACAGAACAATTAAAACCACACATTTTCTGAATAGTTTTTATCCCAGAGCTATAATTGCACTCAACAATGAACTAAAGGGCCACCATCAGTGAGCTGTTGGACAGCATTACTTGGTCTGTGTGTGGATGTTTGGGTGATTTAGGGGCGGGGTATTTGTGGTGGGTGGGGGTGTGTTTGGGGATTGTTATGTGTGTTGGACCTGGTCTTTGGGTATTAAGTGAATTTCGTTGTATCGATATACTGTGTATATATATACAATGACAATAAAGTTATTATTTTAGTTTTGTTCCATTGTTCCATATCATCTTAGCATGGGGCCAGGTTATTTGTGGAATTATTTCTCCCTGACAGTATATTTCCATTCCATCAGATCAAATAGAGTAAACACACTCCAGATCCCTTCACCTAAATGTTGTGGGACCTAGCAACTTTTTTCCATAGCAGTCCCTGTCCTATAGAACATCTTCCCCTTGAGATCTAGTAGGCTCTCATCTCTTTGAGAAGGCTATAGAAAGCTAGCTTGTCATCCAAGTATTGGAATAGGGTGAGGTTAAAGACTGTGTCTGACTGCATTTTGGGGGGGGGGGTACTGTTTTGTACCAGTGGTGAAATCCGGCTGGATCTATCCGGCTCATGCGAACCGGTAGCGCCGGTGGCAGGAGGCTCTGCCCACCCACTGGGACGTCATTACGTCCCCTTTTGACCCTCTGTGCATGCACAGAAGGCTCTGCATGTGTAGAACAGGCGCGCGCTCAGATTCCTGAACCGGTAGCAAAGGTAAGTGCATTTCACTGTTGTTTTGTACTGCTACTGTATGGAACCTACAATTATGTTTCTTAAAATGGATGGCTATATAAGTATCTTAAATAAACAAAAAAAAGTAATAACTGGTATTTTTCTTTTATTATGGAAGATCTTGGTTTTAAAACTGTGTTTTTGTTTTGGAGGAAATTTGAATGAAATACTCTGGAGCTTAACTGAAATCCAGCATAGAATTTGTTTTAGCATAATTTGATATTGCATATTTTATACAGTTTAGTTTCCAAAAATATGTTTTGGTCCAAATCTACTGAAATATAAATTGCGTATTGAGAAATATAACAGAGTTACTCCCAGATAGACAAATTTGTGTTAATTTCCTCTCATGTTGATGCTGTTAATTCAGCATATTCAACACTTAACCATGTTTACACTTAAATGTTATCTGAGTCTTCTACTATATTAAGTCTTTTAATTCAACTCATTCTTTACTAATTATTAAAATTATAAATTGTTAACCATTTAAATTGGAAATTAGTTGAACTAACATTTCAACTGAGCAAGAACAAACTTCTCATGTGTCTATTACTATAAAATCAAGAGACTTTTAGAAATGATCTTTATTATACCAAATTTGAAATAAATTTAACAAAATAAAGAGATATTTAAATTTTATATAATTTAAATATGTGACATATATGCAAAGATTTTCAATTTCTTTCTTCCAATTTAGGATTAAATTATTGGGAAATTTAGTTTTACTTATAATTTTATTCTATATCAGCCATCCAGTATCATTGGATATTAGATAGCATACAAATCTGATCAATAAGCAAAAAACTTGGTAAGGCAGTTACAATTACAGCTACCATTATGTGAAGATAAGGGACAAAATTCTAGATTAAACAGATGGCAACCTTAAGCTAAAAATCAAATTAACTGACTAGTTTCGAAAATATACTACAGAAGAGTTGTGTTAAAAATAGATAGGAAAAAATATTGGAGTTTAAAAAATGAGCTTGGAAAGTTTATGACAATAAAGGAAATGCTTTGATCGGGTTTAGAAAAGCTGTCTAAACACAAGAAATGCCAAGATGATTGAAAGCAAGCAGACAAAATAAATGCATTTGGTTTCTGCACTTTGTTTCAAAAATGCTTCAAATAAATTTGGACTTTCAAATAGTTACATCTCTTTCTCTCTTTTTCAGTTTTGAAATTAAGGAAGATGAATCTACAGATGTGATTTGTCCAAGAAAAGAAAGCAGTCCTCTTCCAGAATTATTAAAGGTCTTTCTATTTATTATTATAATAGGAATCAGAATTATGTTTTATACTTCCTAAAAACTATAGTTTATTTTTATTTAGGTTTTCCTGTATTGTTGTCCGTTTCATTATATGCAGAAAATGTTGTCCTGAAATACGTCTCTGTGTTTGTGTGTATTCATATGTGATTGTGAGAGTAGAAATTGTAAATAATGACATTAGCGTCAGTTATCATTACAATGATCATTTGAAGATCTCTGGCTTTGTTATCGTTTAGTCGTAGATAGTTTTTAATTAAATAATTGTTTCAAAAGTTTAATAGCATGAAATGTAAACTTAAAAGCAAGAAAATAGATATGATTCAAGCATAAGCATAATTAATATATATTATGCCAGCAGTTCCAATTCTAGCTTTTCAAAACTAAATATTATAATGAGATAAGAAAAATATACAAATGGCTATATAATGTGCATGTTTCAGTAGAGCATTGTAGCATCTATGAAACATAGGATTTTTCTGTACTGTTTTGCCTATACCTTATATATAATGTAATGCTTGTAATGATAATTACCTAGAAAGTGAAATTCCTTTTGAATTATTATTTATAGAATTTAAATTTCTAAAGATCACAATATGCTCATGGTGACTTCTAATATATAGCACAATAAAAACCATCAGAACAACAACAGTTTCATATAAAATAAAACTAGTGCAAATAATACCCAGTACCAATAAGATAATACATTAAATTTAAAAATCCAGGTTCAGATGATGCCCAGTCCTCTGCCTTTGCTACTTTCTGCAAAGCTATAACCATAGGGCCATTCTGGATTTTGACTAATACAAGTGTCATGATGGAAAAACCGTGTTTTCTGGCTTCATCCCCCATCGGTTCCCAAAATTTGGGATTTTGTAAAGATAAAAAAACTTTCCACAGAGAACTAAGGCAAAATTCCCTGCAAGGAGTAAGGGAAAAGAAAGACATTATGTGAGAGACACTAAGGAAATACTTTTCATAAAAGTCTAATGGTCTGAGGAATTAGTGAAATAGACACATCTTATCTAAGCAATAGTCAGATATACTGCTCACAGGTAAGAAGAAAGAGAAAGAGACACTGACTTTTTAAAAATAGGCTTTCTTGAGGAAGAAGCCTGGCAGATATGCCACATTAATCATTCCTGGGGGAAAAAGATTTATTAACTAAAAATAGCTGCTAATGCTGCAACTGTTTATTTTTATGTAATGTTGTTACATCCATTACATATGAACATATATTTAAAAAAAATAAAAGGCAGATCTCATAGTGGAGATTCTTTTTCATGTGAGCTTTTAGTAAAAGAGCTAGTTTTCTGTGTTTATAGAATCAGTGTTATGCATACTTAGCAATGTTCAATGTACTGTAATTTAGATAATCAATATTATGTATGCCAGGAATAAAGCACTGGCATTAAAATTGTACATTAATGTATTCCAGTACACTTAATGAGAGCCAGTATGCTTAAGCAGAAAGAGCTCTGGCTTTAGATTGGGAAGACCCTTATCTTCATCTCTTAAAAAACTGGAATGGCATTAATTCTCTTATAGGAACAATACTATGAAAAGAACTGAGTATGTGCTACCTTATGCTTCTCATAAGAAAGACAGGATACAATGCAATACAATTCCTCCTATATAGTCAGTAAAATCTACTTCCTCTTCAACAATTGATAAAATAATCTGTTTTTTTCCTTGTAGGTTTCAGTCTGTAAAAATAAGGATTTATGTACAGAAGGTTTGAATAGATCTACCACTCAAGAGGAATTAAAGAAAGCAAAAAGTCTTCCTAGTTTGATTCATGAAAGCAAAGCAAACAATAACAATAAACGGTCTAAAGAAGGATTTTTGCAATATCTTGGGAGTTTATTTGGTGTTTCTTCTAAATCATCATACAAAGAAAAAGAACCTTCTAATTTTGGAGATGGACATTGCAAAACTAAAAAAGACTTTTCAGATCAAGGTAGCCATCAAGACAAAGGACCCACTGAGCATCTCAAATCAAAAATATTTGTCATTTCAAATTTTGGAACGGAACAGAAAATATCAAGCAAAGATGAAGACAGTAATTTAAGAATTAAATCTAGTCCACAACATTTACAGAAACCTCAGGATCAATCTGCTGAAACAGCCAAGTGAGTTCAAATATAGTATCTAAATATGTATTTTAATTTGAGCTCATAGGATCATAAAAATTTTCTTCAATGTTATTCATACTGAACAATGAGTAATGTACATAAAATAGTTCTCATCCTGTATGATCTATTTTTTTAGATTCATGAGTGGGAGAGTCATGCAAAAGATACAGTCTTATATATAAGAAGTTTGAATTTACAAAATTAAAAACAAAGAATGAAGAGAGATTATAAACATTTTACATATTCCTTATCAGTTGAATCTAATAACGAATAAGGTATCAAAAGATAGAAAGCTGGCCAGTATGATACCAGTTTGTAAAAATTATACACCAGTCATTTTAATGACATTATCAGGCAAATTGTAGAAAAATTAATAAAATAAAAAAAGAAGTAAGCATACAGCAGAACTAGCCTTAATGAAGGAGAATCACATAAATTCTGCAGAGGTAAATACTACTATCTGGTTTAGTCACTGTGAAAAGTAAAATGCTGGACTAAGATGGTCTTATTATCCCAGAGCTGGAAATTAAATGTGATCCCTTCCAATAGCTACACAAATGTTTGTTTGTTTGTTTATGCCATTAGTGAGTCTTGACTTACATACTACATCAGCAAATTCATAACAGTTTTTAGGGAACAATTTTGGAAGTGATTTGCCATTGCCTTCTTAGGGCTAAGAGAAAATAACTGGTCCAGGCCATCTGCTAAAATGTAGGCCAGACTAAACTAAGGCAAGACTAAAACTCAGATCTTCTCAATCCTAGTCCAGTATATTAATCTTTAGAGCAAACTGTGTCTCATAGATAGGCTTACACAAATGCAGCTACTTCTGCAACGTCACTCACTATTGCAAAACAGAGTTTCCCATTTATAGGAAACAAAAAAGCATCTTTGTTACAGCAGGAAGATGAAACTAATCACAATGCAAAGTATATAAAAACAGTAATGGCTACTCAGTAGAAAGTCAGTCTATAGAGATTGGAACCTACATTTGATCATGCCCATGTTTCACAAACATGGACTCTGGATATGAGCATAGCTTTCCATGGAACATCGGTTTTCTTCATGTATGCATTTTGCACAATGAAAATGTGTAGAGAAATGTGAGTGGCTTATTTTATGCAGATAGATTCATAGGCTTTATTACAGTTGAGAAAATGCAGTACAGTGTTTTGAATGACCAGTTTTGAAAATCTTTCAGATCTGTCTCTTTTGTGCTTTCAAGTAGTGCTCGCTTAATGATGTTAATTGGGATTGGAATTTCTGTCACTCAGCAATGTGATCATAAAGCATGACATCCCATGCCCACATCATTTAGCAATGGTAATCCTAGCCATTGGTGTCATTACACAAGGATCACAGGTCATTAAATCCTCACAACTTCTTGCCAGAGTCCAATAAGCAAACACAGTGGGGAAGCCGGCAGGAAGTTGCAAATCCAAGTAGTTTATAAGCAAGTGAGTGGGTAAGTGATTGCTGTGGCATGGGCACAACAAGGCTGGGGTAGTTTTAGGGAAGGAAGAAGCACAAAGGTCTCCTGTGGCACAGCATGAGCATGCTCAATCAGGGGTGACTTGCCAGGCCAAGCTGAGATGGCCACTGCCAGAAGGGAGATATACTATGTCATTCTTGGACTAAGCCTAAGTCAACAGGGAAGATCACAAATGATGATCATGTGACTACAGGATAACCCAAGCAGCATAAGTGGGACCTGGTTGCAAAGTACCAGAATCATGTGACTGCAGGGATTCTCAGATGTCTGGAACTTTGAGCACCAGTTATAAGTACCAGTCATTCAGTGCCTTAACTTCAAACAGTTGCTGAACCAATGGTCATTAACTCAGAACTACTGGTATTGAAATGACTTTTTGTCTTGGGGAGTAATGGCACAATTTTTCAACAGTATTCAATAAAGTATATGACTTAGAAATGTATTATTGCATTTTTTTATTTTATATGGCAACAGTTCTTTATGCATTTTTGTAAGGTTAGTTAACAGGTAGATGTAGGTTGTCATAAAATTATTCTATAAGTTACAATAGAAGAGCTTAGTTTGATAAAGTTTCTCTATTACCTTTTCAATTTTTAAAATATTTTAAAATATAAAATAAAATATTTCAATTCTTAAAACAAAGTGGTTTATAGGCTGTGAACTAAATTCTGTAAACATAAAAGCAAACATGCCAATACTGTATTATATAGCATTATCTACTTTTTTTCCTCAAATGTTAGATATTTTATTTCAGTGAAAGCTGTAACAAGGATTAAAGTGTTTTTATCAGACAGCTCTGAAATACCAGATGGAACTATTGGAATATATAAGCTGCTTTCCTACACCACCACTACCCCCCCAAAGAATAAGGATGGCATCAGAATAATCTCTCCTGGCAACATTATTATAGCTTCCATTAGTATTATGTGGGCTGTTAAATGCAAGAGAATTTGTATTTATTTTAGATTCATTTAGTCTCTATTCACTTGTAGTTGAATAAAATACATTTAAGGCAGAGATTATACCAATTATATATAATCCATGACAGAATATCACATTTTATAGGTTTTTAATACCTGAGTCATACATCTTTCCTAATGAGACATAGTCATCTTATTGTACATCCCAACAGTACCCGAATACATGACCTACATACCTGATTTTACAGTCAATAACTTTCATTAATTTCATTTACACAACATGTGCTTACATCTCATTTATGCTTACTAATGTCTGTATTACAAATCAAATACTATAGGTATATTATTTTACCATGCTTTTTAATGGAGGAAAAGTTATATTCAGTTTAAATCATAGAACATTACGTTACAGAGGAAGCATGCTAAGGATTATCCATGCATGTGTGCACTGAGCTAATTGCAAATAACAGTTTATTGGCACATAGCCTTCGATATAGACTTCATATTTTTTTAAGAAAATCACTCAATCAAAAATACACGAGCAGAAAGTAGGCTATCTTATATTTGTTCAAATCCTACTGCTCCAAAAGAAAGAAATTTTCAAACTGTTTCTAAGTCTAATAATAAACTGTTGTTTTAAACACAACATCAAGTAATGGATGATACTTAGCTTTTGCATTTTCTATTCCCATATTTTTTAAAATGGTGCATGTGAGGATTTTGTACATTGTTTTGTAAAGTAAAACAGCCTTTATCAATATATAGGTAGTCCATTTGTCCACTAAACAAGCATTTCTTTAGTGATATTTCGAAGTTATAGTGACAATGAAAAAGGTGATAGGATGGTTGTTCACACTTAAGACTGTTGCACCATCTTGGCCACGTGATCAAAATGTAGACGTAACTGGCATGTGTTTATGACATTAGCACTTGTCCAGAGTCATGTAATCACCATTTGCAATCTTCCCTGTTGACTTCTGGCAAGCAAAGTTAATAGGAGAAGCCAGATTTGCTTAACAACCGCATGATTTACTTAACACAAGCAATGATTTGCTAACAACTGTGGCAAAAAGGTAGTAAAAAAAAGAGCATAATTTACTTAACAACTGTCTTGCTTAGCAGTGGAAATTTTGGGCTCAATTATGGTTATAAGTTGAGGACTAACTGTAATACCTTCCAGATATTTTGCTGTAACTACCATCATTCTATTAATAGCATTGGCTATTGTAATTCATGTTAGCATAATGATGTAGTTTCAATACTAACCCATTTATTCCCATGGAGAGAAACCTTTCCAAAGATTCTTCCTTATCTGCACATAACTGTTGCACCAACATGCCTTATTTTTCAGCCATTTTCCCATAGCATTGCTTTTGCCTCATATCCGGCATTCATTCTAGACAACCAAAAGTCATCCTTTGTTATCCCAGTTTTAAAGTGGTATTTTGCCGCTTCTCTTGTGGGGGTGTAAGCAGTGATGGGATTCAAGTAATTTAACAACCGGTTCTCTGCCCTAATGATTTCTTCCAACAACCAGTTTGCCAAACTGCTCAGAAAGTTAACAACCGGTTCTCCCGAAGTGGTGCGAACTGGCTGAATCCTACCACTGGGTGTAAGGCAAAAATTTCTCATACACAAAAATATATATTGCAAGAGGAATCTTCTTTAGATCAGGGATTTGACCTTAATAGTCTGAAAATTGTTCTTTTTCAGTAATTCTACAACTATTATGTAGATAACTATTAAATGAATTGCACAATTTACACTTTTAATACCATACCCTCTCTATATAATATAGGTTAACTATTTAAGTAGTAGATATATTTATAATTGTATGTGGCTAAAAACGTTTGCTAATATGCCATTAACAATGTTTCTATTCCAGAAAAACAGAAAGTGAACCCCCCGCACATGCAGTTACTTATGCAACCTACCGAGGTTCTGCAAGAATTAAGCAGTTGCTTAAGAAACAAGCAGACTTGGAACAAGAAACAGTAACCAGAACCAGTATTAGCAATTGTCTTGTGGAAAGCAAAAAAGAGGAAATCATAAATACTTTAAGCACAGAAACTACAAAAGAACCAGAATCGTTACTGCAGAATGGAAAACCTGAAACTAAAGATGACAAACAATATTCACAAGAAAACATGCTTTTATCCGAAATGAATCAGAAGGAAGATGTTCATGGTGATTGTGAGCACAATGAACTAAAGAACAAAATTACCACTTTGAGAGAAATTGAAACTATCAAAAACTGCACAGAAGAACTTGAGTCTGCAAAATGTGTATCACTTTCAGACAAATCAGAAACTACTAAGAAGCTTTTGTTAGAGCCACCAGCTTTGCTGCCAAATCAGGTCAGTTTTAGCTACCAAAATATAGATTCTGCAAGAATCAATTCAGAAAACAGTAAATTAGATGAAAAGAGAAAAGCATTTGAAGAAATACATATGCAGCTACAGTCAAACAATGCTACCACTGTTTGTTTTAAAAAAGAAACACATTTATGTGTTTTTTCTAACACAGAAACAAAAGAGGCAATACAAAATGAGTTTTCATCTTACCCCAAAGTAGAGTCAACTAATAATGATCGTCAATTGTTAGAAGATAAATATTCTTGGACTGACAATCAGTTCAAATTAGAATCAGTTAATCCATCATTGTACATGAATAGCTATAACTCTGGTGATCAAGTAAATAATGGAACAAACAGTAATGAAGAATTAAATACAGATATGATGACTCAAAATCATTCTCAATTGCTTCCCCATAAACCAGCAGTTACAGAAGAATCATTAGTTTTCAAATCAGGAATGTCAGCCCTTTCCACAGAAAACAGGTCTGGGTCGCACTTATGCAGCAAGAGTGGTCTAGAGAGTAAAGAAAACACTGAGCCATTATTACTTAGAGATTTACAAAATAATTCCAGGCTCTCCATAATAGCTAATATTGGGGCTAGTAAAGTGGTTGAGGAGAATGCTGGAATATCTGTTGTGGAACTTGATACAGTTTTGTCTAATGGTACAGAGGAAAATAAAGCCAGCATTTCTTTGTTAGATACTGAATATACACATGTCAACTCCTTTAAAACAGATGCAGATGATGTTCCACAAAGTTTTGAAGCTGAAAATGACTCTCATCCTGCCAAGAGAGATGAAAATAAAACTCTGATCCAACCGTTAACCAGCTTAAATATTTGTTCATCTCCGCTTGAGAAACAAAATAAGCTCTTTGAACTGGAAAACACAAGACATGTAAAGAACACAGAAATGTCATCTCTTAAAACTATAAAAATTGATGCAATTAAAACTCCAATTATTTCTGAGAAAACAAGCAATTCAATGCTCAGTAGCATAAGAAATCATGTCAAGCCTCCTGAAAATAAAGAACTCTCTTGTCTGTCTATTATTTCTTCTGAAAATGAGTGCTTGACCCACAGTTCTCTACCTGTGAAACCTGAAAAAACTAACTCGCCACCAGATAATTCTTGTTCTGTCTTACCTGCATTGATCAGTAATGCTAACATATTTGAAGATAGCATTCATTTGGATACTACGGCTAAATCTGTATCTCATTCCGAAGATCAGAATTTTTTGAAGGGTTCACATTTTTTGCCTGATGAAAAGGAAAATATGTTGCTGTCCGCAAAAGTCACCACTGCAGCAAATTCTGCAGAGACAGACTTTAGTGAAATATGCTTCTCTGATTCTGTGTCTGAAAACTCTAAAACTGTCTTAAAGTCACATTTTTTTCTGGAATCTGGAAATAACTTTAAATCCCATATTATCCCTGATACTATTGACAGAGATAACTCTGGAAAAAAGATTTTGCCACATTCAAATGAAACAAAATATTTGACTAGTTCTTATTCAATGGATTCTGAATCCATTCTCATAAAAGAGACCTTTCCTGATTTTACATCTGACAATGTACATGTGCCCAAGTCTGCTATTCCTACAAGTTCTTCTAAAGATACTTCAGACCTTCATTCTCCTGTCTGTGAAGCAGTAGAGGCTGTTTTTGACAAAATCAATTCTCTTCCTATAAATTCTGAAGAAGATACTGTAAAATTGTCATCTAAAAATAAATTAAGTAGTCTATCTTCTGAATCAATATCAGATGTTACTTATTCACCTCCATTAATGGCCTCAGTTACTTATTACATGGATACCATAGATTCTTCAAAGATAGCATCAGAAATGCCTCTTACTACCCAGCAGAGCAAAGAAATTCATACAACTCCCTCAGAGCAGAATTCTAATTGCCTTGTGGCTACACCTTCAAAAATTGCTACTAGAATGGATAAACAAGCAATTGCTGCTTTATTTCCTAAATCAAACAACCAGTTTTTTAAGGAACCGTTGAAAAATGTTGAAACAGGAAAGCAACTGCAAATTAAATCTCAAAACTTAACACTCTTGTTTAAAAAGGCTGATGAAATAGTAGATGAAGTTCTTCATTTAGCAATAGAAGAAATTAGATCAAAACAAACAGTTTGCATCTGCCAAAATAATGACACTAAGTATAATGAAAGTCCCAACTTTCAAAAACATCATACAAATAGAAAAATGCTGTCAGAATCTAAAAAAATACAGTCAAGGAACTCTTCATTAAAGCCCTGTAATGTGAGTTATATTAAGTTCTCTGGACTTAAATTTGACGATGATACTCAGAATGAAAAGGAACCATTGAACATCACTGATAAAACTGATTTACACAATTCAGTAATAGTAAAACCAAAAGAAATAACTGACAATGTTATTAAAACAGCCATACAAAATCCAGCAGTTGTGCCCTATGAGGAACATTTAAGGAAGGATTTTTCTCAAAATACAAATATGTGCTACACTGAAATATCAGAGATACCTATAACTGAAACAGAATTATCAACTAAGCTTCCTGAAAAAATTGAAATACCGTTAAACCTAAGTCCAGTATCCACAGTTGAAGAGCAGAAGATAACTGTTGAGGATGTAACAAATGTCTCCGTTCCTTTTAACTTCAAAGAAGAGAGTAAAGAGGTTTCTGGAGAAATTATACCGAAGAATGTGTGTTTAGGCCAAACAGTTTGTGAAGAATGGTATGATGACATAACTAAACTAAATTCCAGCCCTGACAAAATAAATAATGCCAAATACAATAAAGATGATAATTGTGCAACAAATACGGCAATTGTTGGTGATATCACTAGTAGCTGGACATGTGAGAATCAATGTAATTTCGTAAAAGGAGAGGCTGTTATGACCTATAAGCAATTGTCAGCATGCTCAGTTTTAACAAAAAATGTGCTACCCTTTAACTCAAACATTAATACATATGGTAGCTTTTCTGATAAATATCAAATTTCTGATAAAGATAAACTTACTTACTTATGTTCACCTGGACATAATGATTTCCCCAAAAATGAGATAATAAAAAGCAAGGCTATTACTGCTGAAAGAAAGGAACCACATGAAAAATATAATGAAATAAATAGTGAATGGGACAGTAGCAAAATGGAAAATGAAGATATAATACAACAAGATACTAAATTCAATGCCCTTTTTAATATATCTGAATCATCTCTGTTGAACAACTCATCAAACATTGGTTTTGTCCATAGAGAAGTAGTAAACGAGGACCCATGTTTAATAGCAGATAATGTACTTAAGGAATATTATTTGCATGTTGACAATGAAAATGAAAACAAATCCCCAAATTGTTTTGACTTTCCTACACCAGAAGACTGGGAACACAATTCTTCCTTTAATATTTTGTATAAAGACAGTCTTCAAGATGAAAGCTATTCTTTTTCAGGAGAAGAAATAATGAGTACCTTATCCCATCCTGATTTATCCTTAGATAACAAGCATAAGATGTATGAAACATCCAGATTCAAAGAGGACCTCTTTCCTTCTTATGACGAAAGCAAGCAGTTGAATGAGATGCTGGGTGATACTTGTTCAGAATCTTTCATGACTGTGGAAGCAAAGCGATACAGGATTTACCCCTTTTCTTTGTCTCCTATATATGAAGATGATGGTTCCCAAGAGGACTTGCCTTCCACTGATATCTCACCAAGAAATGACTATAGTGGATCACCAAGAGAAAACCAATCTTTGTCTATCTTATCACTTTTGCAATCAGTATCTGAAAAGTTGAAGTCTAGTAATCAGTGTAATGAAAATGAACAAGAAGACAAACTTTATGAAGGAAAAAATCAAGAGGAAGAAAACGAAACATCTATTTCCAATATTTGGCAAGACAATAAAAATACTGAATTCCCAAAAGACTTTTCTAAACAATTTATTTCTAAGGAAGTACTTCATTCAGAAGAGACTTCATCTTTGAGTTCAACGTTTGCAGTTCATTTTATTCAAAAACCTGACCCTGGCATGAAGCCTTTTTTAAAGGATACATATTCTGAAAATCTGCCTGGCTTAAGTTATTTAGTTGAAAAAGGAAGTACGCTTGGAAGCAGAATATTGCCAGCTGATCCTCCATCTAAATCTACAAAGCTGCTTAAATTGGTAACCTGTCAAAAGGTAATTTTTTTCACTAAATTTATACACAGTAGGAACCTAATCTATTCATTTCATTTCTTCTGTATACACATCTTTAGGCTAAATATATTATGGAGATAGGTTTTCCATATAAATGAAATTCTGAATCTCTTGATTCTGCTTAATTTACTGTGAGAATTTAGTACATAATATGATAGTCTTTCAATGTACTGTATCCAATATACACTATATATTTTGTACAATATACAATATACTAGGCAGATGAAATGAAAGAGAGCACACTTTTTTAGCAGAATTTGAATTGAAAAATACTTTTCTCTTTACTATTTTTCTCCTGGGATTTTAGGTGGGATATGAGGAAAAGTTATTTCATAAATGAGTTATAAGTGTGAGAAGAGTGAACATTCTTAGCTGAAGTACCACCATCACTTTGATATCAGGCAGACTGAGTATAATAGTTCTGTTTCTTGCAATAATGTTTGATAAATGAGCATGTATGTTCACATTTCCAAATCTGCTTAAAACATAATAGTCCATATCTTCTTCTGATGAATAATATGAGAAAAGTAGCATTGTACACAGCCTTTTATATTTTAATAGGAATTGTAAGAACTGACTCAGAATACTCTGCTGATAGTTTTGAATGAAGTCGCAAAATGTATTTTTCTACAAGTTTAACTTATGTCTTTAAGGTTTTCAGAAATTGTTTGTTAGCATACTTATACACATTTACTTAAAAGTGCTAAGATTTGCTTCATAACATGTTGTTTAAAATATATTTTCTTGGCTTATTGTAGTATTAAAATTATTTCTTTTTTTCTGATTATAGTGTCCTGTTGATAGGGACATACTCAAGTGCAATCCAAGACCAGGAAAAGTGAGTGTGATTTTATATAAGACAATAAAATTGTCAGTATTGTCTGCTTTGTCATAAACTTTTTTCAAAAGTGAGGAATAAATGAGGGACGAGTATGGAAAGGAAGTCTGTTTTCTTTGATATACTAACATAGTTATCTGCTACAACAATGAAATGCAAGAAGGAGGTTGGTAGGTATTCTTGTGATGGTTTCATTTTATGACCTAGATAAGCCAGCCTGGTGGGCTAGACCCATAAAATTCAAGTCATCAAAACTAGCTTAGTAATTATGTCATGCAAATGTTATGTTTGCACCAAAAACACAGTATAATTGATATAAGAGGAATATAAAATGAATGTACAAAATTTGCTTTACATTATTGCATTATTGCATGTCATTGCAGATGCTTATTTGTGATTTTCATGGGAACACAAATAAACTAGAAATTTATCGTGATGTGGTAGATGCTACCATCTGGGTGTTTTCAAAAGAAGCATCAATCAGAGTTGTTAGAGGATGGTAAGAAAAACGTATCTTATAGCAGGAATCACATTTCACTAATATCATGACAATGTTGATAATAGATATATGTGGACATAAAAAAAAGACAACACACTATGCAAAGTTTATTCACTGTAATTTTTCCATATAATACTTAACAGTAAGTAATACTTTGCATTTTTCTTAGTTTGAATATTTTGTCAGAGCTTTAAGAAGGCTGAAATACAAGATAAGCAAGTATTTATTTATTTATTTTATTTATTTATTTAATTTATATTGCAGCTTATTCGCCCATGGCGACTCAAGTACTGTAAATGTATACTTTCCAAAAATCTATATTTGTCGGTAATTAAAGAATATATCCATATCAAAAAAACAGAAAACATAGAAAGTATATTTTATTAGGAATAAGACTAGAGACATAACACCTCAATTAATATACATATAGATCTAGAAATATTATGGTTTAATGTGCAAGAAAAAGTTTAATTTCCAGACAGTATATAATAATTGTGATATCAAGAAATATATAATATTTATTTATTGTTTTATAAATAAATATTATTTATATTTAGTTTATAGTTTTATATCCCACCTTTATTTTGTACAATTCAAGGCAGCATGCATAATGATCCTGCCTCCAGTTTTGCCACGAACATACGAGGTGGATTAGGAAGAAAGAGTCACTGGTGCAAAGTCAAATGACAAGTATAAACATCCTTGCAGTAATTTTCATAATATATAATTATGTAAGCTTTCCAAGCAATGTTGGGAAGTAAACAAAGTACAGAAAAATCTTTAAGTGATAAGAACTAAATCGTTTATTTCTATTATATCCCTAAAACTATGTTAGAGTGAAATTATTTTTTTGTGATCGTTGTTGTCAACCTATCTTATTCTAACATTAGAAAAATAATATATATTCTCCTGCCCATTCTGAATGACAGACTAAAGTAGTATTTGAAAATGGTCTGTTGGGGAAATTAATCATCCATATGAAACAAACAAACAAACAAAAAGACTGGCTTTCAATATTTTTTTCCATATTAATTTTTAAAATCTTTAAAAATAAGACATATATGTTTAACAAATGAAAATAATGTAGCTAGGTGGCAGATGTTTTTCTTGCAGCAGTGTGCAATGTAAATCTCTTGCTGGAAAAAAACAATTGTTCATATTATACATCAGTGTGTATGTATGCTCATTCTACACATGTGAAAGGCTGCAGATAATTATCATGGTAAACATGGATCCTTATTAGTATTGGTGCTGTGCTTGCAATGTGAGTGGCATATTTATATTGATATATTCATTAATGTAGCTGGATTTTATATGAGAAACCAACATTTCAAGGTCAGAAATATGTTCTAGAAGAAGGAGAAAAGATGCTGACTGACATCTTGAATCTTCACAGAGAGAAAGCTCAAGGAAATGTCACAATTGGTTCCATCAGGCATATAATGAAGGTATAGCAATTATAATGAATACTTCAATTCTTGTGAAAATCAGATGCTACGAGTAGCTACCAAATGGGTATCCTTATATATATTTCCCTGTCACTCTACTTTATCTTTCCTCAATGTTTTATTATTTCTTTCTCTTCCCAGAGCATTAAAGTTGAAATTATCAAAGATTCAGCTATTTTTCTTATACTTTTGATAACTCTTGTAATTATTTCTGCGCCCCAGATTTGTCTTTTCTATATCAAGCTTTATTCATCATATTTTATTTTGCTTATTATCAAACCAAATGTTTACCAACCTTTTAACAATGTGCATGAGTGGCACTACAATGATAATAGCAGAGTGAGGTCAAAAGTTATAAATACCACTGTATTACCATTTGTTTGCTGTTTGACAATTAAAGAATGCTAAACTAGTACGTATTATGTACATGAGACTTGACTACAGATTGTACTGCTTATGTGGTCAAATGGTATCTTTGAAAATACAGCAAAATAGAGCCATAAAAATAGCAAAAATATTGTTGAAAAGAGGGAAGTGAGTAGCTAATGTTGAAATTTTAATGTGAGAGCAAATTGCAGGCATTTAAATTCAACTCTCATTATGCCTTTTTTGCCTAGCTTTATTAACTCTAAAGAATCCAAAAGGTTATTTTTAAAGTTGTGAATTAAAGTATAACCATAAAGTGCTACCTTTGCTTTTTTAAAGTGCCAGATTTCTGCAAAAAATAAATTGGTTCTTAAAATATGGCAGCCTCTAAAACTTTCTGCTGAAGAGAAACTTCAGATGACCATATCGACTTTAAATAAATAAATTCACAATAATAACTAAAATGTAATGCTACAAGCAACTTAAATTATTTAGCAATTTGGAGTTATCTTAACAGTAAACAGAACTACTGTTTTCTTTTCTTACTTGAGAATAAGAAAACAAAACAAGTGATATAACAATAACAATGATGAAATGGTTTCCAGTCTAGAAAAGTTATTGTCATAAAAAAGTTCTTAAAATCTGTAAATACAATCCTATTTATAAACAAGTGTGTACTTAGATGTATGCTTATTCTACTTCTAAGATACCTTTAACTAACCAGATATATTATATTCTAAATTTGTCAACTATTTTAAGAGGATGTATGAAAATATTTCACTTTTGCAAGTTTTTAATGCTCATTTAATCAATATTAATAAAGAGAGAAATATACTTTCAGACTTCTAAGGTTCTGTTCATGTAATCTTGCAATAAAGAAGGTTTAGCTCATTTAGCCATGCTTCCTGCAAAACTGACAGGAGCATAGAGAGGGCTAATGTCCGCATATATATATTTCTTATCTGATTTGTTTTATTCTGGTTTAATTTGCTTTACAGGATTGTAGTATTCCTGAAATTGAAGTTTGTTCACACAATAGTACAGGTCATTTTCCAATCTGCATTCAGGCTGGCATAGCCAATGTAGATGAATTGGAAGTTGAAAATCCTATCATCTCTGTGAAAGCAGGAGTGTGAGTAAATATTTATTTTACTTATATAAACAATAGCTATTTGTTCATCATGCCAAAAAGTAACCAAAATAATTGTTATCTTGCTACGTCTTCAAAGAAAAATTATCATAAAATTAACAGTTCTATTTATCAAATAAAAGCTTTCCTAGACTTTTTCTGAAGTTATCAAAATACTATAAAATGAAAAGTTTGACTGAAATTAAGTTTTAATGTTAGCACTTTTCTTATATGTAGTATATGCCTCTGAGAGTTGTATGTATAACAAGTAATATTGCAGGAAAAAGGTGAAATATTTATTTCATTATTTTGAATCTGAAAATTTTCTGTTTTCTTTTGCAATGATCTCAAATTTTATGTTATCATTTCCAGTTGTAACTCAATTGTACCCATGTTCTAGTATCTTTTTAAATAATAGATACTCTGAATAGAGGAAGTTATACCCTTTGGTATTTCTTCTTTTTAGGTTCTACTAATTAAAAAACAAAAATCAGAATCTATCAGGCTATTATTATTTAAAGATTGTCCCATAAGGATTTCATAATTGTTCTTTGGAAATACGTTCACATGCAAAGAAAAAGGCAAAAAGTAAACCCAGATGATAGAAAGCATTTGGGGAGGAAGAGAGCAACTAAAACCAACTTTTTAGTTTGCTCCTGCATGAGCTGCACTGGCTCCCAGTGGTCTTCCGGGTGCGCTTCAAGGTGTTGGTTATCACCTTTAAAGCGCTCCATGGCATAGGACCTAGTTATCTTCGAGACCGCCTGCTGCTACCAATGGCCTCCCATCGACCTGTGCACTCCCACAGAGAGGGCCTCCTCGGGGTGCCATCAGCCAAACAATGTAGGCTGGTGACCCCCCAGGGGGAGGGCCTTCTCTGTGGGGGCACTTACCCTCTGGAATCAGTTGCCCCCAGAGATAAGGAGAATCCAAGATCTCGGTGCCTTCCGCCGTGCCCTTAAAACCTTCTTTTTCCAGCAAGCCGGGCTGGCTTAACACTTTTTAAAATGTTTTTAATTGTTTGTTATTGTTTTTAATCATGGGGCCAAATTTATATATATCTTTTTAATTGTATTTTAATGTTTGTAGTTTATGCTTTTACTTGGCTGTTCACCGCCCTGAGTCCTCAGGGAGAAGGGCGGTATACAAATTTAAAAATAAATAAATAAAAATAAATAAATAAATGGATGCTAGCAAAACCTACCATGATTGCCAATTTTTAAAACTTTCGTACTTTTTAAAATTCCAAATGTACCCATGCATTCAAAAATGTTGTCTACTTGTGTAATGTGACTATAATCTATGATAGCAAAATGAAATACCATATTTTGAAAAACCATATGCTCCTTCAATAATGTGTGCTAATCCAAGATACATGAATAAAGTTGCACATTAATTATCATGTTAATAGGCTAATTCTTCATTTTAATAGATGGCTTGCTTATTCAGATACTGATTACAAAGGAGAAAAAACAGTATTGGAAGAAAATCAAAGCCCATGTAAACTTTCAGCCACTGTTGTAAAATCTTTCCGACCATTGAAAATGGTAAGGACTTATTAATGCCTATAATCAATTTAATTTGCTACAGTCATTTTGAATCTAAATCTGAATGTGTCCATGCTTGAAAATTCATATTTATTTTGTCATATTATTATGAGTTCAAAAATAAACTATTAACCTTTTGATGAAGAATCTGTGTCTGTTAAAATCAGACTTCTGGTAACTTGACAAAGGGAATTATGTTTGACTTAGAATATATTACTTCAGAAATATTGAAGAAAAAATAAATGTCATTATCACCTTTAGTTATAGGATGCTAAGTGCTATCTGTTAAATCAAGATTGAAAAAGTTGTCGTGGCTTGATACTCTTATTATTGTAGATGAATCCATGTCTCTATAGACATTCCCAGGAGGTGCTCAGAAGTTATTTTCTATAATAGAAATTCATATCTACAAAATTATTTTGGATTGCTACTAATATATTTCCTTACAACTTGTATGAATATATTTTGCCACTTTCAGTTTCCTCCCTCCCTAAAAATATCAAGAAAACAATATTGTGTCATTACAAATTTTGCATTCATGATTCTTAAAAAGTACCAATTCCATGGGAAAAATTAGTAATAAAATATAGACCTCCCTGATACCTAACCAGTTTAGCTCAGTTTATCTTGATTTGAGTAAAAAATCTCAGGTACAACTTGACTAAATTGAAATTGTTACTGCAAACAAAACTGAAGCCACACATGGTTGTTGGTTGCCTACTTCTAGGACAAAGATGTAGAGGACTATCCATCCAAATTAATAGGTACAGTAATTTGTTGCCTTGAAAATAAGTAGTTGTATGCTTACTGTATATAACAGTCATATCTGGTCTAGAAATGGCATATACACACTTCAACTGCCTCAACCCTTATAAATATTTAATATTTAGTATTTAGTAACTCTAAAGTTTCTTGTTGGTGCTATGAATTAGAAAGTAAAAGAAAAAAATTCCTAGGCATATCTGCCCTTTATTACAGAACAAATTAATTTAGTTGGCCATGATGTTGATGAAGCTTTTTTATTCATGAAATCAATCAAGTTTCCTAAAACACAGTAAAAGTGAAGAGAAAAAATGTAAATAATGACTCATTGATAGATAGATAGATTGATTGATTGATAAGGTATCTCATATAATAAATATATATAATAAATATTATAGTATATTAACATTATATATTATGTATTAATATGGAAGTATATATTCATATTTCTTATTTTATTTTGTATTTTAGGGTGGCCTAAAGGTGCAGGTGCCTATGAATACTATGGTAAGCACAGTATCCTTTTAGGAAGAGAAATTTATTCATGTAAAAGAAAACAAGTTGGTATTCTTTACCACTAATTTTTAAAGATTTATTTTAGAAGTGCAAATTATAGTAGATATGTGTTGACTAAACCAATCTTACTATTCCATTCATACTTTCCCTTCAGACATTTAAGAAAATCAAAAAATAAAGTTGTCATTGATTTCAATTATGCTTTCTTTATCAATCATATAAATCCAGAATAACTAGTAAAGAACAGCAACAGGAATACATTTTCTCCATCCCCTTTTCTTGCTTTTTTTTTTTTTTTAGGGGGCAGCTCTGCAGAGGGAAGTATTCCAACAAAAATTCTCTTGTTTCCCTTCTTCCAATGGAATGTCTCTTAAGAAACTCTGATTGAAATCATAAGTATGGAATGCTCAGTGGAAGCTGCTGATCAGGCTTTGCAGTTTCTTCAAATCATATAAATCTTTCATGTTTTATAATTAAACCTTTCTTCAATCTACCAAATAAACAGAGGATTAGAAATGTATTTTAAAGGATCAATTTTCCCATTTTTTGTAGATGATAATATATGAAAGACCACACTTTGGAGGGTGGTGTAAAAAACTTTCTGAGAATACTGATTGCATTCCAGTACTTCTTGAAAATTCTGATACTTTCCAGGGAATTGGATCAATACATGTCATTGGTGGAATGTAAGTTTGATTTTGTTATTAACAACTATTAAGAATATTTAAATATGTAAATATCTGTCCACTAGAAACTAAATCAGTAAAAAAGAACAATATTTCATTAAAACAGATAAAAGCCCACACCAGTTAACTAGAAGTATCTTAACTTGCTAATCAGAAGCTTTTATAAATGTATTAGTTGATAGTTTTCAATGAAAAAGCTAAGTGCAAGTATCATCATTTAAAAAAACCCCAACTCTTTAATTCTCATCAAACAAATCTTAGGAGCTTGGAGAATGTACAAGAGGGGCTTTAAAACTGTTTAAAACTGGATATTTTGTATTAATAGTATGTTTATCTTATCTGGATTGACAAAAGGAAGATAAAATATAGGATGTGGCCAAAGGTAACTTCATGTAAGTTATGACTATAAATCAGTCTACTGTTCCTTGGTTTATTGTCCCTTAATTTATTCCTCTTTTGTGGAGTGTAATGGGAATAATTTACATATGTCACTCTCATGTCATAAAGCTGCCTGAGCTGGGAATATGTCTTCACATTTTTCAAAACAGCAAAAAAAATGGTTCCAAGGTTTTGCTATGTAAATGACATGTCTTTATTAAAAGATGCTTTACAATGGTTTCTGGTTATGCACTCATATACACACATGTACAGAGAGAGAGAGCCAGTCAGCTTAATAACCAAATATTATAAATTAACTCTATTTTATATGCAGTTTTACTTGATTATTTTCTTGCTCATTTGTTGCTGATGAATATATCTCTCTATGTTTGTTTAGAGAGTGCTCTAAAGCATCTTTTAATAAAGATATGTCATGTACATAGCAAACCTGGGAACTGTTTTTTGCTGTTTTAAAAAATTAGTAGAAAATAGCTCAAACTATTATCAATCAATCACTTTTTCTTTGGTCATAAATCAACAAATAAGATAAGAAAATCACAATTAGGCTGAAAAAAAAAAACAGTTGTTCTAAAATATCCAAGAAGGATTAGAAAATACACTACAGTGTACTGTACAAACTACAGAGTAATACTTACTGTAGACAAAGAAATAAAATCAGATTGCTCTGATAGTAACGAGATAAAACAAGTCAGGATGACCAGGATGTTCAGTGAAAAATGCAGATAATTCCTGGCAAGCATCTGTGTATAGAGGATAATACAAAATAATTTATTCCATGTGAGGGTTCTTTGCTCTCTAAGGACAGGACTTAGCACAGCCTAGCAAATCTATACACATGCTTTATTGCAACACATACCTTCCCCAACAGTAGGTTATTGCTTTGGGTCAACTCCACATTTCTATGACTTTACAAGGTGACTTTGCCACATAACTATGTCTTTGATATTCAATCCTTTAATAATTATTCTGTTAATACTCAGTTTGAACTAAAGTCTTAAAGTCTTTAAGGTAATAACGTGTTTCTCCAAAAAGACGACCCATCTTAAAAAGAAGCCCTATCCTGTTTTTGAGTGCATGCGATCAAATTAAGCCCTAATTAGTACTCTGCCCACCCCAGGGGCAGGGATAAACTGGGGGGAATGGTGAGGCTGCCTTACTTACCAGGCCTCGCATACCCCGACACCTGCCTGCATACCCTGACACCTGCCTCGCCTTCTTCTGCGGCTGCTTGCCACCACTCACACGCATCGCCCTGGCCTCACTTTTGCCTTCAGATGCCTGCTGGCTGCAGAGGGCTTTCCGGAAGGGGTCTGCAGCCATTAACAGAGTTCCAGATTGATCCAGAGCTCTGTTATCAACTGCAGATGCCTTCCAGCAGGCATCTGAAGGCAAAACTGAGGCCAGCTGGGGCTGTCGGTGCCACAGCCACGAGGTGAGTCAATAATTAGAACCCTTCAAAAAGTAGGCCCAGCCATTTTTGGGGGGGTCAAAAGAAAATAAGACCCGGCCTTCTTTTTGGAGAAACACAGAATATAACTGTTGCTTTTTTCCAAATGTTCTTGTACTTGTTGGGATGAGGTGGTTGCTCTTCTTTTAGTTGTTGCTGAGTTCCAGGAAAAGCTTCAAGCTCCAGATAGGACTCCCACCAGAATATGCTGATCACAATAACTTGTAGCCCTGGCAATTCAATGAAAATGTTCTTATCTACTTGTAATAGCTGCCAGTCTCAAAACCTGTCTATTCCACTTCCTTATCTTATGTCATTTGCTATCACCTTTCCTATTATACCTAGCCTCTTCTCACTCTGCCTTAGCATTCAAAAGATTAGGTGGGGTGAGTCTGCCTCTGGATGTCAGCATGTCCTTGAAAACACAAGGGTGTGGCACAATTATCCAGATAGTTGGAACACCAGCTTGAATGCCTCTGAGTACTGGAGTAATGAACAATTGCCTGAGAGAAGATGTTTGCATGACTATAGCAACTATTGAAATGAGCAGACAACAGTTTCAACACTACTTCCTCACACTCTTATCAGTCCAACTGTTCAACTATTCTTCCATCACATGGGCAGTCTCGGTACAAAAGGGATCTTAATTCTGTTCATTAATATCTGTTGAATATAGCCAACGTTAAACCCCTGTAAATTTTGGAATTGTTATGTAGCTAAGGTCTCTGGCTGATTGGAGAAGATATGCAGAATGACTCAAGATGTTTCTAGGTAGAACTGATAAATTTGCTTTAACTTTAAATCAAGGCCCATTGTTTGAGATCAGATAGTGTGCAATCATAGCCTATCAAGGTTACTTCTGACCATAAAAAGTCTCCCAGGGAAAATTCAAAATCATTCAGCAAATTCTTTCCTTGCTATTTAACATGAAGGGGAGTAGTTTTTTTTCAAAACATTAGCCAACTGCTCCAGCCCCAGACTTACCTTGCCAAAGGTAGAATTGATTTGTCAACAGGTAAATTGTGGGTATGTCTAACATATCTCATAATATTGCAGTGAAATTCTAATAGGATAGACTGCTGTGGGTTATTCTGAATTGCTTGGATTAAGGATAGGGCAAAGAGAATAGAGAATCATTTGTTTTGCCTCTTGTAACTGAAGCTACTAAATTAATGCCGTAGAGGAGGAGTGCCAAATGATATGCTTTAATGATTATCAATACATTTGTAGTAGTCATTCATTCTCTAACTTTGTCAAAATTTGTGTTATCAACATTGTAGATGGGTTGCTTACGACAAGGAACGATATAAAGGCCGGCAATACTTGTTAGAGGAGGGAGAATATGAACACTGGCAATCATGGGGTGGAGTCAGCAGTGTTTTGCTTTCTGTTAGATTTTTGCAAGCTGTAAGTACTTAATTTGTTCTTTAAGGCAATATTCTTTCAACATTTTATTTCTTCGTTTAATTGGAATTGAACATGTATTAGTAAATTAAGAGCTGTTATTGTCAATTCAGTTCCATGTACTATATGCTATACTTTAAATAAATGTCAATTCAGTGAGATTGAGGAAGTGAAAAAATACTTTAAAGTTCATAGGATTGACTTTGCAAAGCATATCTTCTTTCTCTATTTTTGCTCATTATATTTGATTGTATCCAAGGTAACATTTTTTTTTACATACAGTACATCTGATAAATGTTTATGGAAGCTTGAAGACCATAATGTTTAACCTGTAAAGCATCCATTAAAACAATTCACATAATAAAGAAAGAGAAAATAGTCTGCCAAGAGTTTTTGCATTGTTTTGTTGTTAGAGTATAGTGGTTAAGACACCAGGATAGAAGACATTGTGAGTTCTAGTCCCATCTCAGGCGTGAAAACAGATTTGGTGACTTTGGGCCAGTCACGCTTTCTCAGCCTGTGACATCAGGCTCAGGCAAGAAGCCAGTCAGTCAATTCATGGCACAAATCATGGATCAACACTTGGTTGATCGAAATAAAATAAAATCTGCACTTGTGGGATAGTCTAAGTGGAAAATATATTATGTTCCTTATTGTTTACAAAAAATGACTTTGTGGCACCGTATTTTAAACACACTTTAGGGACCAAATTTCAATTCCAGTGTGCATTCCTAACCAGTACCCCACCACCAATCCATTACTCTTTACTGCTATATATCCATATAAAGCTCCACAATTATCTATCAATTGCAGATAGTGTTTCTCCCCGAGACTGACCGCAGTCTGTTCCTTTAAGAGACCAAAAATTCAGCAGCTGCATTTAAAAGATATTTTGTCTTGAAACAAAATGAGTCCTGATTCTAGAATTTAAACATGTTCATCTATCTTTGCAGTGAAACATTTATGATATTTTTTAAAAATGTAACTAGTACTGAAAAATGATTAATTGAGTTAGTACTAAATGAATTTATATTCTAAGCTTCTGATACAAGGAAGTTGATATGCAAAAAGGTAGTTAAACCACATTGTATATATTGGTAACATGATATGTAAAACGGGGCATTCGAATGAGGCATACCTCCAATTTATAAATATTTCAGTAATGCACACATTCAGGTACAAACTGTAATTGGCATTTTCGCTGTTTAAATATACTGGTCCCTTGAATGCCAGATGGTATGAATGTGCATTCAGTTATACATTAGGCTTATGACCACTGTCAAAGTGTGAGTGTGTGCATATTTCTAGTTTTCTTGATTAGGTTGCAGACATGGAAAGTCACATAGCATTTACCTGTAAAGTAGAAATTCATGCAGAAATGAAAGTCGTTTCTTCATTAATCAATTTTTGAATATTCTGGTTACAGAATCAGCAGAAAATTCAGGAAAAATATAGTTAAATGCATGATACATACCTTAGAGAAATTAGTTATTTGTGCTGTATATTGTGCTCCAAAGTTCTTTTTGGAGATAAATTGACACTCTGATTTTTCTTACAAAGCATAAAGAATTCACATTCTAAACCTAACCTACTAAGAATTTCCCAGATACCTAGATTAAGCCCTTATAAATGCAGAGTTGTAAATGCAGTTATTTGTGTAATAATAAAATGTTGCAATCTCATCATTAAACTTATTTGTGCATAAATCTACTTGCACATCTTTAAATAAATCACTTAAAATGTAATATTTATATTTAAAATTCCATATAAAAGTTCTGATTAATGGATTCCTATAAAGGAAACAAATGACAAATGAGTCAAAGTTTTACTTACTGTTCAGTTAATTATTAAGGAAAATAATCCAAATATATATTTCAGTGTGACAAAAGTATGCGAACCTTTGCTTTCAGTAACTGGTATACTCACTGTGGGAAGCAATAATTAAAACTAAACATTTCCAAAAACAATCCTGCACATTGACTTGGAAGAATTTTTACTCATTTTTCAATATCTCTGAATTCACCAGCTTTAACTCAGGGGTATTAGTGGGTTTCCTTTGCATGAAGTCCCCATAAGTAAGGACTTTGACTGGCCATTCTAAAACATTAACTTTCTTCTACTTAGTTGAATAAATGTATTTGGGGTCTTACTGCATGACCTACTTTCTCTTGAACTTCACGGATACTCTGACATTTTTCTGTAGAATTTTCTGGTACAATTCAGAATTCATAGTTTAATCAATGAAGGCAAACCATCCTGGTTTGGAAGCAGTGAAGCAGGCCCAAACCATGATACTTTGGAGAAAAAGTCCAAACTCTTTGGAAAGTTTCATAACCTTTTCCATCCTAGTAAGCATCAACAACTGTTTTCTGCAGGTCTTTAGAAATCTCCTTTGTTTAAGCCAAAAGACACTTCCATATACTTGTGAACATCAGAATTTGATTGTGAAGACCCAGAACTCTGTTCTTTAAATAAGGCACAATACTCCTATATTCACATCTCATAATCATCCCATTGATTTAAACACCTAATTCTAATCTTCCCTTCAAATGAACTAATAATCCTCGAAGTTCACAACTTTGGCCATGCACAAATAAGTATCTTTGAATCATTTTTCTTAATATATAAATGAACAAGGTATAATGTTTTTGTCTCATTTGTTTATTTGGATTCTCTATCTAGTTTTAGGGCATGTGTAGAGAAAAGATCATGTTTTAGATTATATTTCTGTATATTGAAAATTCAAATGGGTTTACAAACCTTGAAGCACCACTGTATTTAAACATTTTAAAAAGAGGAAAGTAGGGGGAAATTTCAGAGTATTTTTATTTAAGTTCTATGACAAAAGAAAACAGGTTAAAATGTACCCTATTTAGAAAAGCAGCGCTATTAAATTTTCACTGTTCAGCTATAAATAATTGTAGTTATTTGTTTATTATAACTTTGTCTAAATAGATGAATTTATATTAGCTTTGGATGGGTCTAGACATTGTAATAATGAATTGTATTATATGCGCACTGAATTGATGTATGCCAGTATTTTGGCCAGAACAAATCAAATAATTTGAGGAAAATATCTCTATATTTATTAGCTGAAGAATTTTGTGGATGTACTACATAACCCATGATCTTCTGGGTGATCCTTTCAGAGATATTTACTTACTTAAACAGATAAACAGAATGGCTATGGGTGGACAAAAAAAAAAACAACAGTGGGAGCAGAACTTCCTGGCAGCTTCCCCACTGCTTTTGCTTGTGGAAAACTGGACGGGAGTATTGGAAAACACAGTCATGTGACTGCAGTGATCACAGCAGCAGCCACAAATTTGCGAATCCAACTGGCCTGAAGATCCTTGAAATTTCAATTCCCCAGGAGCGATGGGTGCTAGATTTTTTAGCATTCTTTAAGTTAGCAGATGTGAAGTACCTTGATTCAAAAATTGTTGCATTATTAGGCACTGTTTGGGCTAATTGAAGGTTACAAACAGAAAGATGGTTTTAGTAGTAATAGATGTTCCTAATTTAATTTTTAAATTGCAGAATTTTATGGAATCTGAAGTAACACTTTTCGAAACTGATGAGGAAAATGGAAAAGTATTGAATGTTGTAAATCAAGAAATTCCTGATTTGGAATGGGCAGGGTTTGGCCTAGTGACAAGATCAGTTAATGTGAAAAGTGGAGTGTAAGTTGAATTTCACATGTTTGTGCAGCATGAAATGCCTGATTTTCCTATTTTATCATTTCTTTTCAGTCTTAACTCCATAAATAAATTAATTAAAAAGGTATAAGTAATTAAAAGTACAGTCACCCTTGGGTTAAGATTGACTTCCAGTGATCATAGAGATATAACTATGCAGTGGTTTGTTATCTTCTGCAGGAATATTTTTCAACTCCCCATTCTAACCTTCAACTTCCCATTCTAATCTAAATTGATTACTTAGGATGTGGTTGGGCTTTGCCTCCTATATAGGTACTGCACATGTCCATCCCTGCTTAACTTAGACAAGGCTTAGCTGACTGGGCTTAGCTATGGTCAAAGAACAATTAAGTAATACAAACATAAATCATTTAAAACATTTAGCCACAATATAAAGTATTACATACTTCATAAATGACATTGAAATGTTTGTCAAACAATTAACCCATTATTCTGAAATGTAACGCTTGGAAACTAAGAATTCAGTATTGTGGTTTGATACAAGTTCTTGGTTCTGTTTTAACTTTTTATGCTTGTAACATCATTGAATCTGGAAATACTTTATATGTCATAGAAACACCATGTATGGTATATGTTATATTTCAGTAATTGCTTTTCAAATGTACCTTGGTTCTTGGTAACTATATGGACATGTTATACAGTATTGTTCTCTTGGCAACATTACACTAAGCAATTGATTTGTTATTGCCATTTCTGGGTTGTATTTTCAAACTTTCCAGCCTAAAACGCTGGGATTTATGCCTAGAGAACCAGAATTGGGATGGATCAGCCATCCCTTTTTCAATATGAAATAAGGGTATAGCAAGAAACTTTTAGAGGCAACCTGGTCAAAGATTTAATAAGGTGCATATAATACTTTTTTTAAAAAAAAAATGTGAAAGTTCAATAGATGAAAATTTCAGGGTTCTTTTAGAGTGTTTTCCAGATTATTAATATATATTTGATTTATCTTAAAATGTCTGTTGTATGTTATATCTAGGTGGGTTGCTTATCAACAGAAGTATTTCTGTGGAGAACAATATATATTGGAGAAAGGAAAATATAAGTGTTTTTTTGGACTGGGGTGGCACTAGTGAAACTATAATGTCAATTCGCCCCATTAAATTGGTAAGCTAACAAAATTTATGAAAAAAGATATGCAATAAGTTATTTTTAATAAAGTGGAAGTTATTTTTAATAATATTTATGAATAAATAAAATAAATATTTTATAACAATTAATACCTGAAGAGTTAAGACAGTTAAAGAGTTAATAAAAACTCTTCGTATCATGCATGAAATTATAGTTTCCTATTCTTTTAAATATATTTACAATATATTCCTGTAAATCTGTTAGGATTTTTATGATTGCTTCCTAGCATCATCAATAAATACACAATTAATTAGCTACTATGAAAACATTTCAGAGAAGAAAAAACAATTTTGTGACATATTTCATACAAAAAGTGTTATTTGAAATAGAACACAATATATAAAATTATAACCAAGGATATATGTATATGAACCTATATTTTATTGAAAGAAAGCCATTTGAATAGGAAATTGAAATACAGTCAGTTATAAAGTGCATATTCAATTTGTCATTTATCCTAGCTACCATAACTATATTTCAAAGTGCTTTCAGGTCATTGTTTAAATCTATAAATCAACTTCAGCTATTCCTCAGTACTTGGAGAATTTTCACAAAGCTTAGCTCACCAGGAAAACCTTCAAACTAGATCTTCTTGAATTATTTTCTCTATGTGTTTCGTATTTTTCTTTAATAACATATTTTTTGTGTATATGATTCATGTATTTTCTTTTTACAGGAACCATTGGGAGATCATCAACCCATACACTGGGTAAGTTTTTGAAATGAGGTTTTGTTCATTGTGGTCAACCTGTGAGTATAAACCGCAGCAGAATAAGAGTGTGCTGAAGGTAAGGAAGGGAATAGAGACTAGTCAAGCAAGGAATTGCTTATATGCTCACAGCTGAGGCTGAAAGACTTACTTAGACTGCTGGTACAAGAGCAGGAAAGAGCAGCTTCTATTAATTTAGTTTACTTCCTTGGTTAAATGTTGTATTTTGAATGTTATTTTCAAAAATTTTGGTTTGAACTTCTGAGAAGAGTGAGTAAATGCCATTGCAGCCATTTTGTAAGCCACAATGTAACAGTGTTCCACCCTAGACATATGCTGACCATAAATTAATATGGGCTGAAATGCAACAACCATTGAACGTCCATGCTGGAGCCTATTGACAACTGTTTCAAGGATAATATAGGTTCAAATTAGTGGAAGGTCACCCCTTGAACTGGATCAGAGAGCTTGCCAGGAAGTGGCTGTCTCTGGAAATACAGACTTTTCAAGGTACATTTGAAGATATAGTCTTAGAACAATTTGTTACTACCATGCCTGGAGCAATTTATTGCTGGATTGTAGAACATAAACTGAACAGCTGTAATCTTGTTAAAGGAATTTCTGTAGGTTTATCTGTAGGCCCTACTCAAGCCAAACTATGATTTAAAGCCATTTGAAAATTGTAGGATCTGAGTTTATTATATAACTATACCTGAAATCTAAAGTCTTGGCATATCTAACACATATGTCATACTTTTGTGGTACAACACGTTGCTATATTCTGCTGTTATTTTTTTTCCTAACCACAAGTTAGGGAAAAATTATTAATATTGGAAAGTGGTATGCGAAAAATTCAATGTTGAAATGTGTCAAGTTTCAAATACCCTGTTTCAAGTTCAAAACAGTTTAAACAAATAGGTTTGTTGCAATTTTAACCATACAGAAGGGTTTCAAACTCAAAACAGGACTGCTTCAAACTCAGAATGTTTTCAGTATGATTAGAATAGATTGGGCATTTCTCATGAGATTTGAACAATTGGATTCACATGCAAAATATTTCAAATATTAAACATTTTGTTCATTATAATTTTGGAGATTTCCTGTCTAAAATAAGTTTTTTAAATGTTATGTTTTATTAATAATTTTCTCTTTTTAGTTATAGAATTTCTTCCCCACAGTGTGGAAGGACATTTAAAATATTCAAGGCTATTAGGCAGGTTCATAGTCCATAGATACATTTTAAGAATGTTTGAAAAGAAACCATCCTTGAATTTCTTAGTTTCTTTTATATAGGAATTGTCTTTTCTGGATGGAAATTTAAAACAAATTCCACTACCTTCTAAATTTGTGAGAGGATGAGATAGTTGAAAAATATTTGTTTGTTTGATGTTCTTGCCAGTATGGATGAAAGATGAGAATTTTCATTTGTCAAATACCCAGAAGTGCTGTATTACCAACAATAAGTCTTGTACATTCTGTCAGTTTTTAGGCTAGATTTGTATGTTGCTGACAAATAACTTCCTGGAAAGCAATATGTTCTGAGTCATATGTGGAATACCTTAACCTTAGTTAGCAATAATATACAATAATTTCTGCATCTTACTAATTAAATAGTAACATGCAGACTATTATGTCAACGTGTGTGTACTTGTAACAACCTTTTCGGCAGAATCATATATGAACAATTTATTATTTATTAACCATATTTCTATCCTGTCACAATCCAGAAACTCAGCAGTTTATATAAAAAAGAATTGATGGAGTAGTGCCTGACAAAAGTTCTTCCATTACATAGTTTGTTTTCTAGCTGATTCTTAAACATTAATTTTTTATTCCAGTGTTTTGCTTCTTTACAGATCAAAGCTTTTGATGATATACACTTCCAGGGATCATGTATTGATTTTACAACAGAAGCTGCTGATTTTACATCATTCATGCCACGCTCATTTAAAGTTTTACGAGGATGGTGAGCTGATTTATGCATACTTTTTAAAGCACTTTGGAAAACTATTTCGATCTATTTCTGTGATTTAGTCCTTTTTTTTCATTTTTAAACTGTTTTGAAGTATTTCTCTCCTAAAATAGAACGAATCGATAAATGTCTTATACAGTTATTCTTGCAAACAGTCAAATGTGTACTATAATTAAATGGATTGTGTAGTGGTCTTATATATGACTACAAACCCTGAGCCTTATTCATCATCATGAGGCCTGATGCAGCACATAATGTGGTCAGATAAATTGTTAGGCATAACAGAATTCAATATTTGTCACCATCAGTGCCTTCCACCCAAACACTGGATTATATGGTTGATTATGTGCTTAAAATGTGTCAGTATATTCTTCACTATTGTAACTGAGTCCATTCATCTTGCTGCTTCTTTCTTTCATCTTTCCCAATATTATGGACTTATCAAGGAAGATGGGTTTTTACATAAGGTCTCTAAAATTAAGCCTGGTCACTTGTGCCTTTTGTTTTCTTGGCTATCCATATAGTATTTTCAGGAATCTTCTTCAACACAAAAGTTCAGAAATGTCAGTACTCTTTCTGACTTGTTTCTTCAAAGTCCAACTTTCACTTCCATAGATGTCAGAAGAGAAATCATTACTGAGAAAATTCTCAGTAGGGACACATCATAGCATTTGAATACCTTTTCTAAGGTTTTCATTGCTACCCTACCAAATGCTAGTTTGTAAAATATTTGATTTCTGGTTCCTTTATTGTTGATAGATGGTCTTAAAAAGCAGAAGCTATTTTGATGTTTTTGATGTTTTCATTGTCATTTTTAAGACTGTTAATTGTATCTGTTACCATTAGTTCCCTTTTCTTTATATTTAATCATTTTTTCATTGTACTCCTTTATATACTAAACCTTGCAGATGATTTGCATTTTCAGCGTGGTGTCATCAACAAAGCTGATGCTTCTTCATCCAATTTAAAAACACACTCATCTTCTTCCACTCCAGCTGCCCTCAGTACAGATTCAGCACATAGGTTGAATAAGTAAGGGAGCAGTGTATCGCCTTGCTGATCTGAGATCAGTCTTTCATCATGCTCCTTCCAGATTGTGGCTTCCTGTCCTCTTAGAGGTTACACATGATGAGAGTGAGTGGCCATGTTGAGGGCCATCTAACTTGAGGAGCCCATAATGCAGCACCATATCATCAACCATTTTATATTTTCTATCAATGAGGGTTTTATGGTAAAATACAAAACTTCTATATTATTGTCTTCTGCATGTAATAAAAAAATCATGCCTTTTCCATTGTCCCTAAAGTGATCCTCTGTCTCTAGCATCTTTCTGTATTTCTGCTGCCCAATATGGGTGGCTGATTGCCTTAACTAGGCAGCTGGGATAACTTTTAATGCCTTAAAGTAGCTGGAAGTATATACCCTTGGCACAGGGGTGGGTTCTAAATTTTTTTACTACCGGTACTGTGGGCATGGCTTATTTTGTGGGTGTGGCTTGATGGTCATGTGACAGTTCTTTAGGATTTAGCAGAGGTACTGTTCTACCAGGCTTTTAACTGCTTGCAGAGCTATACCGGTCTACTCATTTATTTTTGCAGGCACCTGTCTACCCATTTGTTTTTACAGGCACCGGTCTACTCATTTGTTTTTGGAGGCACTGGTCTACCCATTTGTTTTTGCAGGCACCTGTCTACTCATTTGTTTTTGGAGGCACTGGTCTACTCATTTGTTTTTGGAGGCACTGGTCTACCCATTTGTTTTTGGAGGCACTGGTCTACCCATTTATTTTTGCAGGCACCGGTCTACCACCACACTGCCTTTTAACACTGATCAGCTGTAGGCTGCCCTTTGAAGCCCCGCGGCAAGAGTTTAAACAGTTTTTTTTCCTTCTAGCCGATCAGCTGGGACTCATGAGGCAGCAATAGATTGGGGGTGGGGCCAAATAAAAGGTTAAGAATAACGGGGGCAGGGGGGCAGAACCGGTTCAGTGATGTCATCACCGCTACCAGCTCGGCAGAACCGGGAGGAACCCAGCACTGCCTTGGCACATACAACCAGCATTCATCGCTCATACATTCCAGGAACAACTTTCTCCCCCCCCCACAAACACTTCTCCCCCACTCGAAACCAGCCACTTATGAGACAGCATAGTAGGCCTTTTTATTTTCTATTTTATTCTTTGTTTCTTTGTATTCTTTAACATACTTTTAAATATTCTTTAACATACTTTTAAATGTTCTTCAACATACTTTTAAAAAGATATTGTGTAACGAGTTATACAAGAATTTATTACATGGCTATCAGCACCATAAATCCCCGAAAACTGAGTAGAACAGGACCAGATTTGGTACCTGTGAGGAGAAGCTGGCAAACAAAAAGTCAAGGTAAAAAAGAGGCCAGATAAGATCAAGGATTGCAGAGATAAAGATTTATAACAAATTCCTCAAACATCCTTATGTAAAGGAAGCTGAGCAGAATTCTGGAACAAGCTCCATTGTGTCTGCCTCCTTCCTGTTTACATGGCCTAGAATAAAGTGTATGCAGCCTAACTTGTATTCCCAGTATACACACATAGATAGCTGCAAGATATTACTTTGTTAAATAAAATAATATTCAGGCACTTCTTTTTGCCATTACTGGGAAAGGTTATAAGAATTTCTAAAAGTCATGTCCTACATGATTTTTCTGCTTTGTTTAAAATGCAAATTTTCTTGCTTCTAAAGAGTTACCAATTATAGTGAGAGTGGCACAAGCATGTATATTTCAGGGTAACTCATTTCTTCTGAAGTTATCTATGTTCAATGAACTGTGACCATCTGGCTAAAGGACTGAAATTAATACTCTTTTGTTGTCAGCAAGAAATCTATGGAATCTTCAGAAATTGTGTAGTACAACAGTTGCTGTTAGTCGCTAGAGCTGCTACAACTGCTATATTTTTCACTTTCCAGATGCTGTAGAAAAAAATGAACACATTTGATAGAGAAGAGCCTGCTAGATGAATTGATCAGTTGAATTTATTGTAAAATTGCTTGGTGTGGGTTGCATGTTGGACCCCAGAAAATTGAAATCTGATATTTCAAGATAATTATTGAATGATTTTAATGTAATTAATAATAGCAAACCCTTCAAAACTATTAGTACTCTGCTAATTGAATTTGAATAATAGCAATTATAGGGACTCCAGTTCACTGCTCTTTGCTAATTTAAAAGATCTAAGGGGACATCTAAGGGCAGTCTGCCAATTTTTCTGTTTTCAAAGAACCTATTTGAGATTCTGCAGATAACAATGCAGAATCCTTAGCAACCCTGTTGGTGTCATTGAAATACGTAACATTGAATTACAAGTTTCTGGTCAGTGCTATGGTAGAGATATGACGATGATTAAAATAGTACTTTCACAACTGCCGCACAGAGCTTTTCTCTGTTCCATCTCCTGAATAGAGTAATATCAGAAATAGGGAATTCTAGAAACAAAGCCATCTGAGAAGTGCATCAAGGGCATTTGGAGATGAATGCTGTATTATTTTGTTTCTACACATCAATCTGTCGACATTTAGTTGTAATTCATAATAATAAATCTGTATTTCTATGCTATGTTATTTTATTTAATAGAAACCAATACAACTTCATATGGAATTTTTTTCTTATCTTTCAGTTGGTTGCTTTATTATCAGGGAAAAACGGCTATTGAACAGTGTGTGCTAGAAGAAGACCTCTATCCTGACCTTGCTTCCTGTGGATGTTCGGCAACTCAAGTCAAGTCCCTCAAGCCTGTTCACCATGTAAGAACTTACCACCTAGCAATATTCAGAAAAGCCTTATACAGTCCAAATGTAGTGCCCTCAAAAGAATATAACCAAGCAGTTGTGGTTCTGATTTGTATTTTTTATTTTACAAGAGTTGAGGCATACAACTGTAACAGATATTAGTAAGAAGCCAAATTTATCCATATAAAGAAACTTTTTATTAAATGAAAAGCAACCCAGTAAAGGATTTACACAACTTGACAGAGATCTTACACTGAAATACTATCCATATAAGATCACATGGTTGTGGTAAAATTATAAAGGAACTACCTGACTTATGTTTCTTACATGGATAGTTTACTTACAGTATAAGAAATGATAACCATTGAACCAATAGGGACAGATTCATAAATTAAGCTAAACTAGGCACTATAGCTATAAAAATTTGGGAGAATTCCGTTTTAAAGTGAGGGTAACTAGTAATCATTTAAAATGTTATGAAGCATTTAGCTCGATAAAATTTAATTCACTTAAATTATACAGCCATTGAAGTTGCCTCAGCTTCATGCCCATTCAAGAAGAAAGGAATAATATGGATATTAGCCCTTCAAGGTAGATCAGACTAGGAATCCAATGTCATGTACATCAGTACAATTTTTCTTGTAAAGCTTTAATAATAGGATCTTGCAAATCTGAATGTGCTTTTCACCTCCCTGTCTCTATTTTTGTGAGAACTAGGGAGAGTCTTGTCTGAGATATTTACTCATGTTACTTTCTTACCCCACTTCAGTCATTATCACTTCAAAAATCTAGATTGCAGCAGAAGCATAGAAAATTTTCTTGAGGTAGTCTGAAATTTGCATATCAGATCTGCAAAATCTGTTACACAAGTAGGAAGTAGCAGCCCAGAGAAATAATTCTAGAAGATAAAAACAAGTTATTTTCATCATGTAATATCTATTTTTATGATGAAGAAGATTCTAAGAAGTGTTCTTTTAAAACATTTCAAGCTTCTTCTGAATTTCTGATTGATTGTTTGAAAATCTCTAGCATTTGTTTGTAACAATGAGACAACTAAGTGTTGTAGTACAAATAGCTGCATGGCATTACAAAATTAAAGCTGTTATGTTCAACATTCAGTGGTAACTTATCCATTACAAAATGGATAAGGCATTATAAACTTAGTCATGGTAATGGACAATATATAATAACTGAGTAAAACAATGTCATACTTTCAGAATAAGGGATAGCTGAAATGTTGGACACACGTGCTGACTTTTCTGTTGGGTTAGCAGATAATTGCATTTGTGCTTAATTGCTTTTTAAAAAGTGTGAAAATGGTTTCCTCAGTTTTCACCATTGTACTAATGTAATTTTGCTTGGGAGATTGTTTTTTAATTCAATTTTCCTGTATTAAGCAATGTAACTAATTAGGACTTGCATGTATTGAATGACTTCAGAGGATTAGAGTTACTTGAATGAATTAGCAATAGCACTTAGACTTATATACCACTTTACAGTGCTTTACAGCCCTCTCTAAGTATAGATCACATCTTGGTCCCATTTTTTAAAAAACGTTATATAGATAGATGTATGAAAGTCCATTTTGTAAGAGTTCAAGATCAGCAACTATAATCACTGTTTAGCTGTTTATCTTTATCACTTACAATAAATTGCCTAGACCTAGTTGATTAGGGAATTCAACAAATAACATTAAACATCTGGGTAGATTGGTACTGAATTTGCTTTACCATGATTGATACTAATATTGGTTTATTGATTAAAATTTGCAAAATATAATGAAGCCAAAATTATTTTCTAAATAAGCATCTCCAAACCAAGGAAAAGCTTCATCACATATGAGGAGCCAAAGAAAATCTAAATATAGTTAACCAACACAGTATTAATCTTTTTTTTTCCTTCCAGGTTTTTGCTGAGCCGTTGATCAGCCTTTTTGCACTGGATAATTGTGAAGGCAAAGAGCTGCACTTGCAAGAAGCTACCAGTTCAATTCTGAATAAAGATTTTCACTTTCTTACTCAGTCAATCTGGGTAAAAAGTGGCATGTAAGTATGACGATAAGATAAATTAATGTACTGAGAGTTTAATTTCTTTACTCACTATGGAGAAATCACATAACTCCTATCACATAGATGAACATACTTACTTACTTTTTATTTAAAACGTTTAGCTTTCTATCTTGTATCGAATTCTAGATGGCTCTAAACCAACAATTAAAATAACATTAATAATAAAACAACATAATACATCCATCCATTAAAACCATATACATTAAAAACCTGGCACCAAAGTTAAGCTTCCACATGCAGCTCATCATTGAATCCTCTCATCCACCTCACTCTATTCTAACACTTAGAGGAAAAACAAGGTCTTAAGTACTCTTTGGAGGGCTAGGAGGATAGAGGCCTGCTGAACCTCAAGGGGGGAAGGGTGTTCCATAGGGCAGGAGCTGACATGAAAAGGACAATTTCCTAGGTCTCATAAAATGGCAATGTTTAAGGGAAAGGACTAGAAGCATGCCCATCCTATTTGATATGGTAGGAATGATAGATAGCTGGAGGTGATCCTGCAAATAACTTGGCCCTAGAGCTTCAAAGGTAATAACTAAAAACTCCTTCTCCTTCTCCTTCTCCTTCTCCTTCTCCTTCTCCTTCTCCTCCTTCTCCTTCTCCTTCTTCCTCTTCCCCTTCCTCCTCCTAGTGCAGGGTCTGCTTTTTTCACATCAATCAAGAAACTGAAACATGAAAGAACTATGATCTTTGTAAGTTTTCCACCCCCAGGGTGGAGCCCTATACATTCAGGGGATACCACAGTATGGGAGCATTTACCAAAAAGGATCACTTTTAGGTCCCATTTCACCTTATCAGAAAGAATGCAAAAGATAGGTAGAAACGTAGTAGCAGACATGGCCCAGAAGGTATCTATGGGCTAAAATAGGATTTTATAAGCTAACAAGTCATTTTGTCCTAGATCTAGAAATCTATTAGTAACCAACATAATGGCTGTTATAAAACTACTCATGCCAGTATAAAGCTATGCTGCTGCATTTTGGACCAACTGCAATTTTCATGTCTTCTTAAAAGACCAGCATATGTGTGTTTTGGACTCAAGGCCACATAGAACCTGCAGGAATACCGGATGATGACAAATTCTAAGATATGGAGCAATTATTTAGATTCCAAGAATCTTCCTATTCATCTTTACCTGTTGCAAAGAACATTTTTCTCTTTAAAGCCAGTATTTGCTGAGTTTAGCAGATCTTTTCCTTAGGAAAAGAGGTCCATCTTCTATTTTTAAAAACCTTATTAGTCTTTTAAATATTAGGGTTAGAAATACAAAGACAGAATATAAAATATTATTTTATAGTTATGCAAAATTCCTAATTCAGTAAAGCTCTTTTGAGGCAGTTTGACAATGCCAGGAAGTAAGTTTTCCAAGCTAGAAACAGTTGATGTGTCATGGACAGACAAAACAGCCTATTATGGGGAAATCCTCGGAATCTGTCCCTTGAACAATATTTCAGTGGGATGGGACAGAACATTTCAGGCAATTGTTACATTGCCACATCAGTGAATTTGTATATTCCTATTACTTGGTTATCATTATCAGCTTTGTAAATAGGTAGAGATAGCTGAGCTGGTTGGAAATGTGTGAGTCCTTACTAAGAGAATGAACCCAATTCTCCTTTAGTGTCCTTTGGATTTTCACATAAAATTCCTCCTGAAAATCATGATGTTTCTTTCTAAATTAATTTATATATCAATTATACATTAATAAACAATGTTTAGATTGGCTCCACATAGGCTTTTCATTGTAGCAGTGTTTCAGGTCAACTAAGATTTTTTTATTTCTTTACAAGGCTAAGTAAAGGAAGGACCTATAAGTAGGTCCTTAGCCTTCCAGCCAGTGAGATTTCTCCTGTCCCTAAACCACATTATTTTCTACATGTCAATATTTTCTTCTATTCCTTTGTTCTTAATTTTCATCTTACCTATTTATTTATTTATTTATTTATTTATTTATTTATTATATTTCTATACCGCCTTTCTCCCGTAGGACTCAAGGCGGTGTACACACAAACATACCTGTTTTCTTTTTCCAAATACAGATTTTATATTTACAGTATGTGTCTTTTCGAAACAATTGTCAACATGCTACTTCAATACTTGATTAATATGTAGGTTGTTTTAATATTAATATATTTAAAATATGTATGAAATATACCTATGTAGACTATTTTGAATTAAAAAATCGTTCCATAGTTACAATTTAAATAGAGGTGCATTTTTTGTACTTATCTTTTCATATTTACACAAATATATGATCCATCATTGCACCAGATTTTCATATTTGATACAAGTTCTATGTTTCTTTTCTGTTAATCTAAACGACAAGGATAATGTTTCAAAACTAAGTGATCTTATTTTGCAAAATATCAATATCAGAACTGTTTGGTTCTTATTAAAATAAAAATTTAAGCATTATTTTTGGAATTGAAAGTTTAACACTGTTAAAATTGCTCTGGGTATTAATTTGTGTCTTGAACTATGTAGACATATGTTAGACATATGTAAATGTAGATATGACAGTTTCACAATAATATATTAAGAAATATTAAAAATAATATGAAGTTGTTTTGTTTTGCTAGAATCTTCCAAACAAGGTGGAATTAGCAAAACTGTGTAGTTAAATTACAGCTTTAAATAAAGCGTCTGATATGAAAAGCATGAAGTATGCAATCTTATTTTAGGATAATCTTATGAACATGCAATACAGTAAAATTCAGATTTGCAATTGCTGCAGTATTTTCGGTGCAATACTTTTTAGCAGCCTAACTGGGAACAGTAAAATAAATTAAGAACTTAAAATTTATCATAATATCCTTATTGTGCCTTAAATATATTACGAATTAAATAATCAGTACAAAAAAAAGTGCTTGTCTGCCTTTATACTATATGACCATATACAGTATTTTAACTCACACAAGAGACTGTACAACACTATACAGATATGCTGATTCTAAGTGTATGGTCTCATACTGCTATAGACAAGCACTTAAAAATATTTAAAAGTATTAAGTGAATTATTGATATGCCTTTTGTAACATGAGGCTTCTTATTTAAATAATCATGACCATAGCCAAGGCTTGGATACATTTAAGAAACCTAGAGTCTAGAATTTTCTAAAAGATTTTCTTTATAATTAAATATGAAGGAAAAGTTCCAGTGTTAAATGATATCTTTGCCACTATGTTTTCCTCTCAACACAAGTAGGGGACGCTTGTAAAAAGAGCTGTAAAATAAACAACTACAGATACCCCTCAACTTACAACCACAATTGAGCCCAAAATTTCTGTTGCTAAGTGAAATATTTGTTAAGTGAATTTTACGCCATTTTACAAGCTTTCTTGCCATAGTTAAGTGTATCACTCCAGTTGTTAAGTTAGTAACAAAGTTGTTAAGTGAATCTGGCTTCCCCATTGGCATTGCTTGTCAGGTCACAGAAAGTGATCACATGACCTCGGGACATAGCAACTTCATAAATACGAACCTGCTGCCAAGAGTGAATTTTGATCATGTGATCGAAGGAATATTGCAAGTCATAAGTATGAAAACCAGTTATAAATCACTTTTTTCCAATGCCATTGTAACTTTGAATGGTCACTAAATGAATTACTGTAAGTCGAGGACTACCTGTAGTTAGAAAGATAAAACTTTCACATTCTGTATGAATCGTTGCCATAGTGAAATATGAGCATAAGATAGAACGTTAAGTTGTTTTGTGTTTTCCATTAATGGAACTCTGCATACTGTACTAAATGTATATTGCATTTTTAACAGATGGATTGCTTATGAAGGCTGCAATTTTGGGGGGAAACAGTTTCTTCTTGAATCAAGCAAGATTTCAAACTGGACACAGTTTAGTGGATGGACAGCAATTGGCTCTCTTCGTCCCATAAAGCAGGTACTAGTGTAAAGATAATTTCCCCCCCCCTAAATCTGAAGTGGCAATTTGAGGTTCTTAGATGAGAACCACTGAAAATTGGTAAAGTGAGTTGTTGCCATTTTAAGGCTAGAAATACACAAATCTATCTACAAACCCTGAAATTAGCACTTTACGTACACTTGGAAGCATGAAATCAAATAAAGTTTCAGTATTGTTCTTCCCCAGTATTGTTTAAGAGTAGTACTATGATTAAGTATGGACTACATTAAAGTAGAGATTGATTGATATATAACTAGAATTTAGTATCTACCTCACAAATATTGTAGTAGAAAGCCATAATTCCAGGTTTAAATCAGCAAAACAGTGTGACTCCAAATTCTTCTTTTCACAAATTTTTTCCACAAGTGTTAGGTCCACTTTTTTTCCAAACCAAGCAAGTATTGACCCATTGGTTGTGACAGGAATTGACCAATTAATTTGTCACCCAAATCTGACATTGTGAGCTGAGAGAACATGACTGACCCAGTCACCCAGTCAGCCTTCTTGCCTTAGATAGGACTAGAATTCAGTCTCCTGCTTTCTAACTGGTACCTTAACTACTATGCCAAATTACTTCTCTAGTTTAATACCAAATATCACTCTCTGTACTCAGTTTGGTACTTCTTTCGAAAATTCAGACTAACAATCAAAATGAATTGAAACATAGTCATGGAGCCTACCCCTGTTGCTCAAATGCCATTGAAATACTGGTACTAATCCAATGCTTTACCCACTGCATCCCATATATATGAAATTTGAATATGAATCTGCAAATGGTCTTCAACTTGAGACTACAATTGGAACCAGAAAATTTGTCATTAGGCAACATGGTAATTAAAAGAGACACATAATTTTATAATCCTATTTGCCACAGTCATTAAATGAAAAATCACCTGCTTACAATTTGCTATCTTCTCTGCCAGATTCCCGATTGACTTTGCTTGTCAGAGGCCCTCTGGGAAGGTGGTGTGATCAATGTTGATCACATGATCACAAGATGCTGCAACCATTGTAAATATGAACTGGTTGCTACGCACACAAATTGCGATCCTATGACTACAGTGGTGGAGTGACAGTTGTAACTTCAAGGACAGGTTATAAATCATTTTTCTCCTGTGTGCTACTTGGAGAGTCCAAGCAATGGGTTAACTTCTGTCTGGTTGGCCAGAGACTGAGTTGAATTTGCTTAGCCACGCCTCTTCCTCCTGGCTGAGCTTCAGTGTTTCAACTCAGTCGGCCTATAGAGACTTGCTTTTTTCTTCTCCCATTGCTTGGACTTTTCAGCAGAAGTTAGATGGATTCAAATCTTCAAAAATTTTGTCTTTTATGTTTGAGTATTTCCTTCTTATCTCGGTGCCGATCTCAGCGCCCGCAAGCGGCTCAGCAGCCGCTCCGTAGAGCTCCAGAAGCTCCGGAGGAGATTTCTAGCCACGTGGGCAGCAGACCACTCCGGAGACAATCGCAAGCGGAAGCCGGTTACTGAGGCAGCGGCAGCGATTGAGATCTTGCTGATCGCGCTTCCCCAGGCTTCTTCTAAGTAGCTAGCAGCAGGGAACATCAGGCCACTAGCCAGAGGTTCATCGGGATCGTCGGAACCACTCCCTTCATCGAGGATAACACCAGGGAGGACCCATGTGAGTCAGGCGATTGGCTCCAGTGCAGAGTAAACCATTCTGTCGGTTTCGCGCTTAAAACTGGGATTGAGGCCTGCGGACTCTATTGTTGGTCTCACGCCACTCCCTATTATCTGCTGCATACCTGCTCTTGCGCAAGAGGCCATTTTGCCAGTCTCGCGCAAAACTATTCCACAGCAGTTGACCATTGCACTCACAAACTGTTTTGTCAGTTTGGCGTCAAACCTTATCAGACAGGGTGAAACCCAATAATTTAACCTTGGGCAGAAATTTCAAGAGCTGCAGCATAATTAAAGCCTCCTTATTCATTCTCAAAATGGCGGATCGCAGCCTCATCCTCTGGATCTCGGAGATCAATGGCATCTGAACCAAAAAAGGCAAAGGGTTCCCATGATGGGCCTTCCACTAGATCCAAGGCATCCACTTCTGCAGCAGCAGATAAGGATGCAGAAAGAAGGCAAAAAGCCTTAGAAAAGCACTTTGCCAAGGCCCAAAAACAGGCAGAAGCTACAAAGAGCCCAGGCCCTCAAGCTGGCCACATGGAGGCTGATATTTCCCTGGCAAAAAGCACATCTTCCTCAGCTTTGCCTGAAGAAAGATTGTCTTGGTCACCTGATCCCCTTTCAAAATCACAAATTGAATTACCAACCTATGCAGGAGATTCTGTTCCCCTAACTGTTCAGGGCTCTTCAGGACAGATGGTCACATCAGGCCCCAGGCAGGCAGTTCCATCAGCCACCTTCACTCCCACAGCGGCGGGGCTCTGCCTGAGGAGAATCAAAACCCTGTCCCAAGGCTTTGATTCAGCCCTCCTTAGTAGGACTGATTCCCAATAGCACAGCAGCTATTTTGTCTCAAGGGCAACCAGAAAGGGTATATTCCCAGGCTCCCCATTCACCTTTGACGTCTCAGGGCAGCAAGGTGTCCTACACTGGGAAGGAGGAACCAGCAGAGCATGAATTCTCTGAGGACAAGGGTAGAACACCCGACAAGCCTGGTGCAGGAAATCACACTTGGTTCCCACATTGGCATCCATTCCGAACGTTTTGGATTTTCTCCAGACTGGATTTAATCACAGATTGTCTACCAATATACTCCACAGACAGGTGGCCACCCTCGCGACTATTCTACACTGCGATGGCACAACTACCCTGTTTCAACACCCGAGGGTGCGAAGTTTCCTAAAAGGGGTTTCCAATTTACGTCCCCCTATGGTCCATAGATATCCCACTTGGGATTTGTCTCTAGTCTCGCAAGCTCTCACGTCTCTCCGTTCGAACCATTGGGGTCTGCCAGTCTCAAGATACTTCAAGGTCACCTTTCTCATCGCAATCACATCAGCGAGGAGAATTTCTGAGATGACAGCCCTATCTGTACGCCAGGACTTACGTATATTTTATTCGGACAGAGTCGTCCTCCGCTTGGACCCGACGTTCATGCCAAAAATCAATTCCTGGTTTCATAGGGCACAGGAGGTCATTTTACCAAATTTTTGTCCAGATCCCATTCATCCGAGGGAACGACGCTGGCACACTCTGGAGGTTCGTAGAGCTCTTTACAAGTACATGGACAGAACAGCATCGTTCAGGACATCTGAATCATTGTTTCATTCCAGCCCAGTTCGATGGGAAAGAAAGTGACTCCCTCAACTATTGGACAATGACTCAAGGCATGTATCGCGCTGGCTTACGAACACCAAGCCAGACCTCTTCCAGGACGTCTCATAGCGCACTCAACACAAAGTGCAGTTACCACGGCCGCTTGGGCTACCCAAGCTTCCATCCTGAAAATTTGCAGGGTGGTCACTTTGGCCTCCCCTACTCCGTTTATCAGAAATTACAAATTGGACAAATTCATCTCGGCTGAAGCAGCATTCGGCAGAAGAGTCCTGCAGCAGGTTCTACCGGGCAAAAGATCCCTGGACCCCTCGGACTCCTGCCCTAGGGATATTTAGCTTGGGTATATCCCATTGCTTGGACTCTCCAAGCAGCGCACAGAAGGAACATTGGGACTTACCTGAATGTTCGTTCTACGTGCGCTGCAGGAGAGTCCCCACCCTAGCTCTTGTGGCGGTCCAGTCTCCTGTGGATCAGTTTTTCATCATGCAGGCCACGTCGTCTCCAGATCCACTTCATCGAAACACTGAAGCTCAGCCAGGAGGAAGAGGTGTGGCTAAGCAAATTCAACTGAGTCTCTGGCCAAACAGAAGTTAACCCATTGCTTGGACTCTCCTGCAGCGCACATCGAACGAACATCCAGGTAAATCCCAATGTTCCTTTTCAGCAGTCATAACTTCAAACTAATTAAACAAATCATTGTAAGTCAAGGATTATCTGTACTATTAGAGGAAAATGTTCTGTCTATACAAGTTTTATCATATGGATTTGTGTTTCTTCATGAAGTATGAGTTAATTATGCTTTTCTGTTTCAGCCAGCGGTGTATTTCAGAATAAAGAACAGATCCCAAGAAAAATACTTGACAGTTGCTGGCACTTTAATGGATGGAAGAGCTACATCAGTATGTTTGTTCCCACAAAATGGCAAGAATACTCAGATCTGGCATTACAGTCGTGGACTCATCAAGTCCAAGGTAGTTTTCTTACTTATCAAATTTATATAGCTACCCATCTCAACTTCCAAGCAGCAGAGAAATTAAAATAAGAGCAGGATAATTAATTGATTTTTAGCTCATCCTTATTTACTAGCTTCATATTTACTGCATGTTTTAAACCCATGTTTCATTGCACTTACAGTCTGCTGTAACAAGTGTGACTTTTAACTGCAAGTTCTTTAGAATAAGAATGGGCCATATTTTAAAAGGAAATGAAAGAGATCTTTTGAGAGAATTTATAATACATTTCATGGAATAACAAATCATTTCATTTCTAAGAGCTTCAGAAATATTCATTCTGAATGTGATCATCATTGTAATGGATATTTTTCTGAGTTAGAAAGTTCCCTAAATAGTTGGTATTTTTCAAAATGAGAATTTGCTTATCTATAATTCTCTACCAGCATGTAAGTCTGAAGTGAAGGCAGATTTGAAGCAATTTCAAGAATCTACTACATGTGCTTACTCTTCTTATACATTACAGGAATATTTATTTGTTAGATCTATATTCACCTAAATCCCAAGGCAAAATACACAACTCACAGTCCTCTAATGTTTCTTCACAACTATTATGAGACAGATTTTGCTGTGAGGTTACTCAATGGTAGACTTGAATCTCATCTCACCACTCTTAGTCCAACACTTTTGTATTTCTAAAAATCTATAATCAGTTCTACTATGCACACAAATTCCAGTGGTTTCAAAGGTAGATTAGGCAATTAGAAATTCTGAATGTGTTTAGACTCTTAAACAAAAAAAAAACCCACTAGGAATAATACACTAGGAGTTCTTTGTTATTTATGTACTAAATCAAATTTCTGCCTATCATTGCTCCACAAATTAAATTCTTTCACAAACTGTTAGCAAATTATAGTTGCAGTCATTCGTGAAAATTATTGTTCTTGTAAGTGGAGTATGGAGGGTAAATTGTTTTTGAAAGTATTTTTTTTTTTATTTCTGGCTTAATTTATACCTAACTGTTAATACAACTGACCAAATTTAGACCACTGCCTAAATTTAGCCACTGCCTACCTATCCCCAACAATTCGTTTTAGAGCTACTGTTTCCTTAAGAGAAGTTACATTTTATGGTATTATTTATTAGACATATGTCTGGCAGAAGTGTGTGCATAATTAAGCCTTTTAAGACAATAAGCAAATTCATTTTTTCTCCTACTTAACTAGGTCAATGATGCTTGCCTTGATGTCATTGGAGGCAGGGATATACCTGAAGCAAAAGTTGCCCTGTGGGCAGAACATGGAAAATCAAGACAGAAATGGACATGCAATAAGGATGGAACCATCACATCTTATCTCAGCGATCAGCTTGTTCTTGATATCAAAGGTAGTAGCCTAGAGTGGATATAGAAAGTCTGCATACTCAAAATGCCAGGTCTTTGAGATGTAAAAAAAATCAGACCAAGATAAATTACTTCAGAATTCTTTCCACCTTTAATATTAACTTATAAGCTGCATAATTCAGTTGAAAAACAAACTGAAATATTTTAGGAGAAAAAATAACAATTAAAAACTAGAATAATGTGGCTGCATAAGTGTTCACATCCTTTTTTAAGTAGGGATGTGGCTGTGTTCAGAATCACATTCAAACTGATATTAAATAGTAGTCAGTACACATCTGCCATGAATTAAAGTCTGATCAAGCCCATATAAAGTTCAGCTGTTCTAGCGGGATTTTTTGTCATTTACTCAATTGCCTCTTACTTCAAAATGTATGGTCTGCAAAGAGCTTACAAAGCATCAGAGATCTCACTGGATATACCATGGAACACAATGAAGACAGTCATCAGCAAGTGAAGAAAATTACCAAGACCTGGATGTCCCTCCAAACTTGATTTAAAAAAAAAACCAAGAGGCTGCCAAGAAGAAGCTGCAGGAATTTCTGGCAAGTACTGGTTTTATACTATATATTACAACAATCTTCGTATGTCTTCGCTGTGGAGTAGGATAGCAAGATGGAAGTTTTTTCTTACAAGGAAAAACACCCAAGCCCAGCTACATTTTGCAAAACCCTACTTCAAGTCTGACAAAAGCATATGGGAAAATGTGTTATGGCTGAGACCATGTTTGAACTTTCTGACCATAATTCCAAAAAGTTAGGCATAAAAAGGGTACTGCATATTGCTAAACGTACACCGTACCCACACTGAAGCATGGTGATGGCAGCATTGTTATGGGCAGTGGTGAAATCCACTTACCTTCGCAACTGGTTCGCAAATGGAAACACACGCTCACGACACCTCTGCGCATGCACAGGACCTTCTGCGTATGCGCAGAGGGACAAAAACAGGACGTGATGACGTCCGGATGGGCGGGCGGAACCTTCCGCCGCCAGCGTTACCGATTCGCCCCAGTCAGATAGAACTGGCTGCATTTCACCACTGGTTTTAGGGCTGCTGTTCCTCAGCTGGAACTGGGGCTTTAGTCAAGATGGAATTATGAACAGTTCCAAATATCAATCAATTTGGGCACAAAATTTTCAGCCATCTGCTAAAATGCTGAAGATGAAGAGGAATGTCACCTTTCAACACAATGGCCCAAAGCATATATCCAAGAACAAAAGAATGGCTTTACCAGAAGAATATCGAAGTTTTGAAATGACCCAGCTTCACCCCTGACCTGAATCCATTTGAAAATATGGTAGGATGACCTGAAGAGGGCTGTACACAGGAGGTGCCAATCAGACAATTTTGCAGCACTTTTGCAAGGAAGAGTGGGTGAAGATTCCCATGGTAAGATCTGCCATGCTGATATGGTCCTGCCCTAAGACTTAATGTTGTCAAAAAATCAAAAGGTGTTTGAAACGGGTGTGCATCTTTATGCAACCATGTTATTTACTTTTTTGTTATTTTTCCCCCTGAAAGATTTCAGTTTGTTTTTCAATTGAATTGTACAGCTTATATATTATATTAAAGGTGCAAATAATTCTGAAGTGATTTATCTTGGTCTAATTTTTTTGGCATCTTAAAATACGTGTCATTCTAACAGGGGTGTATAGACTTTCTAATTTCATTATATACATAATTGAAGTTTTGGATAGATTTACCTTGCCATTTAACCTAGTTTTTAAAATAGTTTTAGGTCAAGACTGAATATTCCAAAATAATTATATACTACAGAGTTTGCATCTGCATTGGAATAGATGCTTGAATACTGACCCATTTGCCATTTACATGAGCAAATAAAATATTACTATTATTGGCTATCTAAATACCAACAATAGTTGGAATATATATTTGATTTTACACAATTGTATACTTTATTTGTAAGGCCTTCCTGTTTGGAAAAATGATTAGAATATTATTCCTGGATAGTATATTTTTCAAAAATAATCATTTTCTTTGTTTAGGGGGTAAAATTGAATTATAGACTGAATCGTAAATGCAGTTTTTAATTCATTTTGGGGGTAATTCATTTCAATATTCAGCTCTAAATTTACCTCTGAACACAAAGAGCTTTAGGATTGAAATTGCCTAGTGCTATATCATCTTAACCCATCCAAATATATTGCAATTTCAAGATATTTGCATTCATAAAAGAAACTTTACATCAAATGCTTGTCAAAGAGGGAAACTATTCAATGCAGCTTAGAAAAGTAGAGAAAGGTATGATGCAAAAACAAAAACAATGTCATTCAAATCTTGAAATTCTGTTATGGCTAATTGATTGCTCTTGCCTACCCTCCTGTTTCTGAAGTAAGAATTTTTTCATTAGAGCTGAAAAGTGATTCTAAGGTGATAATTTTGTAACATTTTTAGGTACAGTTTTTAAAGGGCAAAATAAGTAACTTATTTCTCAAACTTCTTTTATAGGAGGAGATTATTATGACAGAAACCACATTATTGTAAATCGACTTAACATCAATGAATGTACACAGAAATGGGACTTTGAAATATTATGAATGGATGTTCTCAAGATAAACTAATTTGAAAATATGTATTAAATTGTCTGAAAACACTTGAACTACTGAAGAGACATAGTATTGGTGTATGTTAAAGATCTGCCCAAGACTGCCAAACGAAGAATAAAAAAACAGCTTATTTAAAAGTTCACCAAACTGTTAAGTTTTTACTTCCAATAGTGTTGTTATTCATAAAATATTGCAGGGTAATTTATGCCAAATGTTCTTAACAATTTTGGATTGTTAGTAACCAAAACTTAAAATGCAACTTTGTACAGATTATGCCTTCACAGAACTGATGCATTTAAATATTAGAAATTTATACTACATTTTGATACAATAACTCTAAATTGATTAAGAGAATGGATGAAATTATTTGTCAATCCAGTTTGTATTCTAATGTAATGAATTCTGTATAATTCTAATTAAAAGTTACAAGCATGTTAAAAAAGGAAAAAAAGTGGTCTATAATTGATCTCATTTATTTTTACAAATAGCCAAAATTGGCTAAGGGATGGTATGTGATTAACTCTTTGCCTAGTATTTTCCCAAATTATGCCAAACTTAACACACGCTAAGTCCTTATTTTCAAATTTTCACATGTCGTAGGGCAAGAAATTATAAAACACCTATTCCTCCTAGGATTGCTCTTTCTGGAAAACTGATGAAGGTCTTACAATTGCTTTCAAACAAACAAAAAAGTTGGGAAATAGATGTGTTATCTGATGTGTCTTTGGCCCTAATGGTTTCTCCTTTGACAACTGCTATTGCTTAAATTTAGCAATTTGAATTGGTAAATCTTGTCATTAACATCATGAAGCACAGCAGGAAATTTACCATATTGTTTACCTACAAACTAAGGAAACATATACAACCATTTATTATACAACTTATATCTATGCAGTTTTTTTTAAAAAAAAAACTTCCTTTATATACGAGTGTCAAAATATCCACAGTATCTAGTAAAAGAAAGTTAGTCAAAATGGAATTCAGATTAGGTGTTTTCTTTTTTCATCCTCAAATTTTCTACTATCCATCATTTCATCTTCAATAGTATTGTTTCACACAATTTGAGTGTGATTTAATTTAGTTTCTAATATCATAGCCAAAAATGTTTCTTGTAGTTTTTAGGCCCAGTTCAAAATAAAATACTGGAATATCCAAATATTCACAGCTATTCAAGCCCAACCATAGGCAGTGATTGCAACGTATGTTGATTTTCGTTAACAGAACATCCATGGATCTCTACCTGTTAACCAAATGTTTTGCCACAGGTCCTACCAATAAAAGCAGTTGTCAAGTTCCAGATCCTAAAGTACCGTAAACGTTGGTGGGTATGGAGCCAGGGAGGTACAATGCTGTTCAGCTGTGTGAGCTACAACCCTGTAGCATTTTATATTGTAAAATAAATCATTTATTTACTTCTTGCATTTATTTTATGTAACCAAGGTACTGATATTTTAATCTAAAGAACTTATTTAATAGATAGATTTGTATGTATACTAAAAACAAGCAATAGATATATTTGATAACACACCTTTTAAATAAATTGTTCTTTCCAGCTCATGTTATCCTTACTCCATTTCTGATAAGATCATCTGACTCATACTACTACATAAAGCTGTAATGCTAAACATAATTCTAAGAAAATAAGACTAGATAAATACACTGTCAATTATTTCTGAGAAAATATCTGCAAGAGAATGTAGATTATGGAAGCAAACTATGTAATTAGCTTTTTTTCTGGGTATGCTGAGGTTTAAAGCCTTACAATGAAGTATCTATTCAAGAGATTTACCATAAAATTAGCTCTGAAAGAAACCTACCATAGTGCATCTTTAAGATACAGCTCAGTCTTAGTCTAGTTCAGCGGTGTCAAACTCAACTTCATTGAGGGTCGTTTGACCGTCAAGGGCCAGAGTGGGCATGGGCATGGTGGGCATGACATGGTACTCATGTCAGGGGGGCACCTGTGGTGGCCAAGTGTTAAGGCAAGACTTCCCTGAGACCCTCATTATACAGGTAATCCTCGAGTTACGAATGTAATAGAGGTCTGCCAATTACATTCATAAGCCAAGGATTCATTTGATTGAATCATGTTAAATTAAAGTGATCACTCCCTGCTTTCCCCAATGCATTTGTTAATTGAATGTGCAGGTCATTAAATGCACATGAGGTATTTCAGAGTAGGGAAAAAGCATGTGGGGCCTAGTGCTGGAGAAGGCCATCCAAGGCTGCCTCCAATCGACTGAGATACCTCATGCTACCCTGGGATCCCCACAATTGCTCCCCCCCCATCCTGCCCCGCCGGGTCTCCACAGACTGGGCCTGCTTTACTAGCATCCATTATTCCACTTACTCCTCCCCATCCCATTTCCCATGGATTACTTACTTTTTGAAGATCTCCAGAAGAGGCTGACTCACTGGCAGAGAAGCCAAAATGTTTTTATTCAGGTGATCGCACAGCTATAAGAATGTGAAATCTAAGAAAAACATTTTCTCCAGCTTCTGAGACTTCGGCTTGGGCATCATGTGACCAGCAGGCCTCCGGTAGTACAAAAGGCCTGGGTGGGGCCACAGCAGCTTCAGGACAGCTTCAGGGATTGAAGCAGCAGTAGCACCACCAATCAATGAGGAGTTTGCTTTCTTTTTCTCATCGGGCTGAACTGCAAGCCCCTTGTTGATTGACCGCCATGCACCAATCCGTGAAGCTACTCATTCAACCTAGCCAGTCAGTAGGAAGGAGGAGGCTGCTTGTCGCTGATCAGACTGGGCCCAAACTAAGCCTGCAGATCCAGCCCATGGAGGCTCCATTTCAGCTAACAACAGGCCAGGGAAGGCCTCTAAAGGCCCCCATGCACCTATTTGGCTGGCAGTGTTGCAGGAGGCCGTCCAGGCTGAAAACTAGGTGCTGGGGTGTGTGTGCATGCACCCCCCCCCCCATGGCCTCTTTTCGCTAGCAGAGGCACCACGGGCCGGTCCTTTTCTATTTCCAGGCCAGCTCCCTGGGCCAAATCGAAACACCCTGCAGGCTGAATCCAGCCCACAGTCCTTGAGTTTGACACCCCTGGTCTAGTTGGATTCTAGTGAATAAAGGATAGTTTCAAAATGACATCCTTTTCTGTTGATTCTGGGGAACAGATAAGCCACAAGGAATAAGAACCATCATGCTTTTAAAAGGCATTTGAGAACTGTTACAAATTCATGCTCTATTTAAGTGATTAAACCATCCTACGGTTTTATTTGCTGCTACTATACTTTAAAGAGAATTTTCTCATTTTGTACTGTGCTAAAGTGAAATAATCCTTTAAAAATAGCACAAAAGGAAGGTTTTTATAAAAGAGCACTTCCTATTTTATTTTTAAAAAAGATCACTATGCTAGTTGACAAACTTTGCCTCCAAATGACTTCATATATGGGATCTATAAGTAATTATTAATGCCGTAAGTTGTACTATATTTTTCAAACCAACTTTGTCACTAAAGTATCACGCATATTGAAGAAGAAAAAGGGAGAAGATATTGGTGGCTTGGAACTTAGACTAAAATATATGTACAGATTCAAAATTGCAGACAGAATATTGTGAAAAGGCTTCCACCCAATGAAAAAGCAATCAAACACACTCCACGTATTTCCACATTGGTACCTGAGTTAAGAAAGAAAAGAAACTCATAATTTTCACTCTCTTGCTCATGAGCTTAGAGACAACAACATGCTGCTTCTGATATTCATGGACACAAAACAGGATGCTAAACAAATTGTAGAATTTTCTTCATTTGAAGAAATTTATTATACTGCAAGATGTTCATTAGAAATGTCTTGGCTTCATTCAAAGAACACACCAATATCAGATGACACTTTAAGGAAGCAAATTTAACACAAACAACTTTCTGTATAAACTCATCACTGACCCCAACTATATTTAGCATCTCCAATGTGTTCTTATTTTGCACATTAAGAAATCAGAGTCCTGCTCATATTAAGATTCGTATGTCTAAATTCATAACTTTCAGGCATCTTGAAAAGAATCAGATGTTTCACAATCTTACTAAATGCCCGGGACTATATGAGAGCCTTTTATGAATAATTTCTATGTAATATGCTTTGCCTGATTATCAAGTCCTTATTCATTGTGATTTACGTTCATAGCAGACTCCTCTACACAAATCCAAAATATATAAAGTTTGTTAACCATGATAAGAATCTATCTTTAGATTACTTCAACAAGGCATTCAGTCCACAATGATATCACTAAGTTCTCTTTTTCTGCTTCTGAACCAAGATTAAGGTCCTTAACGCAAACAGTATCACAGCTCCATATTTGTTTCAGTGCATCCATGTGAGAGAGAGGAAATCGTAATCCATGTGCCTTCTTAAAGAAGAAAAATGCTTGTTAAAAATCAAGTAAAACTAAACATTAGTTACATATAAATTAATTTACAGAACAATACATACTCTGGCCTAATAATAACTATGCATAGTTATTATGTATGTTATATATAATTAGTGTTTCAGTTGGCTAAGGCTCATACTGATTATAATTGTAGGAACCCAAATGTTATGTATCAAGATGTCACACAAGTAGAGGAGAACTATATGATATATGTTGTCTATACGGAGCACATTAAATCACAATTTTCTAAATAACAGTTTGAAGACATTGGGATCACAAACTGCATTAAGCCATAAATCAAGCTACAAGGACAAGATCCATATAACATACCAAATCAAAATCAAACCACATTATGGTTTAGAATACAGTATGCAATCATAGATTTGATATAATTCTAGAAAACTATTTTAAATGAGAAAATGTGCAACATATTTGCTGAGTTTTAAGACAAAATTATGATATAATAGCATGTTTATGAGAAATTGTTTTCCTGTAATTTGGGGTTTTTTGTGGTTTTAACAATTAATTGAAGAGACAGAACATTTTTTTCCCAACTGAAATTACTTACACAAACTAATAATCTTCCGAACTTTATTATGGTTTCATTTATTATGTTTGCTCCTTATGCCAAAGAAGATTGGGTAGCATATGGTTTTTCCCATTTCAATTAAGAAAAAAATTAGCCTCCAAAAATATGACTGACCAAGGCTTCTGAAAATAATTCACTGGTGATCAGGAATTTGACAATAAAGTTTTCCAATCAAATGAAAATTGCTATAGTATGTAAGTTAATCAGCATACATTGATATATACATGAACATCAATGTATAAACAAAACCATACCCCTAAATATTTGAGCCTAAAATAGTTATTATTTCTGTTCTCATGCTCTAAATAAAAGGTAGGGAAGTCAATTAATGGTACACCATCTTGTGTGCTTTTTTTTGTCATGGCACTCACCCTCTGGAACTCCCTGAGATTAGATTGGTCCCAAGTTTGCTGGCCTTCCAAAAACATTGAAAACTTGGTTGTTTAACCAGGCACAGGAGGCAAGACCTTATGAGGCT